CCTGATTAGAACCACCGACATTCCGTAAGTTACCTGGAAAGTTTCCCCCCCATGAAAGTATCAATGTAGTATGACGGGATTCAAATAATTGAGGGGCAAATAGTTTGAAGTCAACGTAGCAAAAAACCCTAACTGATGCTACATGCCAAATACAGAACTGCCAGCCTAAAGTACGCTTAAATAGAAAAGATTTCACAAACATGCTATTTTAATATATTTTGGACATTTTAGGGGCCACAACTTTTAAATGCATGATGGAAAGAAAGAAACCACCATGATCTAAAGGTGACAACTACAGACACAATTCAACTAGATTGTAGTTAGAAAAAAAATCAACCAATATCCCCAAGGTGATTCAAACCCACAGCACTAAAGTCAGGGACCTCAAGTCCTTAGACCCCTTACCCACTCATCAATGGGAGCTCACACTGACAAGGTTTTGTTCCTTGTACTTTTATCAATTCAAAGAGGAAACAGACAGAAAATGAAAACTTAACAAGGAGTTGTATTCAATTTTATTGAGGATAAGAATGAATACATGGTTAAAATGTGTTAAAGCTGCATGCCTCCAGATGAGCCTGAATATTTAAAGATAATTAAACTTGAGGAATGTTTACTGAGATTTAAAGAAAAGTAAAAAAGATTTAAGAATTAGATTCAAATGCTAAATTATCTACATGTAATGTGCCATTGAGGACCGATTTTGCAGTATCTATCATCATATCTCTACTGTGTTATTAATGCAGTAAAGACTATTTTTGCTTATTTTGACATTTTTTGGTAAATTTACATGGACAACAAGTGCTATTTGCAATGTGTAAATTATTTTCTTTGTTCTCACAATATTTTACTTTTAAAAACATTTTAACCTTTTCATGAAAATTAACATGAATCTGGAGGTATGCTGATCATTTCATTAATTGTCATAATGACACAAATAAACATATTAAACAATATACACATGCATGACCATGTATAAATGTCAATCATTATAACTGAGCCAAGTCACAACAAAACCAACATAGTGGGTTTGCAACCAGCATGAATCCAGACCAGCCTGCGCTTCCGTGCAGTCTGATCAGTATCCATGCTGTTCGCTTACCAACTCTATTACAAGTGGAGAAACTGACAGCGAACAGCATGGATCCTGATCAGACTGCGCGGACTGCTGCATAGGCTGGTCTGGATCCATGCTGGTCGCAAAAACACTATGTTGGTTTTGTCGTGACGCGGCTCATATATGCATTACAAATAAATCAATGAAGAATAGATCATTGGTCTGTAGCCATTAAATAAACAACCTTTTTACTTATAATATCAACCCAAAATTTTAAGAAATGGAATATTCATTTATTTCAGCACTTTCATAAACATGTATAAATTAAATTAAACGTTAGTTTCAGCTGTATTTGATCATAGTAAAAGATAAAAGGAATAGAGTTACTAATATGAAACAATATAGTAAAAGGTGATATTTGGCTTCAGCTACAATGTTGGAGCACATTTAACATATAAAATATTAGAGCACAATACACATGAAAAACAAGGGCTGTTGCTAGGACAGCGCGCTCAACTATTCTGTGCTTGATAGTTGAAAACAGTAACCTGGCTAATGTAGAATTTGTTTTACTTCAAAAGGGCCATTACTCTATCTGATCTATGCTAGAGTAATAGGCCTTAGATAGTGACCTCCTATTATGCTATCAAATAAAGTGTGTAAAGTTTTAACCCTTTTGCTGCCAGAGGGTTATTTATTTATTGATCACCTATTTGCCAGAAGGTTTTCTAAGAAATTACTATATTATTAATTAATATAATTATCATTATTTGTTATTAGTATTATAATAATTATATCTGTTTCCAAATCTGCTAGTATATAATAATTATTGTCGATGGTATAATTATCTATATATATTTATTATTATTATCATAATTATTATTATTATAGAAACGGCAAAAGCCGTCCATATGGCAAATACGCCGAAAATTATAGGGATGGCATATGCCGTCCTTATGGCAGTGAAAGGGTTAATCCATTCCCTTCAGTAGCTTTAGAGATACCAACTTGCATGCCAAAACTTTCCTAAAGTGTGACACCAATACCTGGGTTAGTACAATAGCTGTCCCTATTCTTTGAATAGTTAAACTTATGATGTTGACTATACCGTTTATACAAATTAATTTACGTATTTTGATTCAGGGATTAACTGAATATTGACACATATGAAAATATATTACATGATCAACTAGTAAGAATTAAAAAGGCATAAAAAATGTAACTATAAATATAAGTCTTCAAATATATATACAATGAAATATAAAGCACTTCTACCTGTATACAAAATGCAGTTCTTAAAAATCTATTAATAATTCTAACAGGCTTCACACTATTCCTCTATCAAACAGATAGGCAATTAAGTGCATTATTACACAATATATGCACAGCATAAAAAACGATGCTTACACGTCATGTGATGTCATATATAACGTCAATAAACCAAATGACATCAGGAAAATTACTTCTATGCTCAATACAGTTCAACAAATTTTTATCAATTCTCATTTTGATAAGCATGTTAGAATGGAAATAGATATTTATTTTTCTTGCATTACAGTACATGTATAATCATGCCGGTTATCGTTCAAATGATTTGTAATTAATCACTCAGTCCTATCTGCTGTCGTGATTATATTCCTACATATTTGAACTGGAACCTAATGTATTTGAATTGCATTATTCTACAACAATTCACTAAAAATTGATATCTATTTCCTAATCAAATATCATGGGTTTGAATAACAACTATCAACAAGTGGGCTATTACTGTTCATCAAAATTGAAACAGAAAAATGACCTTCTAAGATATGGCACTGACAATAAAATTTAAGAATCTGACCATGATGATTAAGTAAAGAAAAACAAAAATGGGTGAAAAATATCTACCTAATATTGCAAATAACCAGAATTTGCTAACAATACATGCATATATTAAAAGAAAGAATAATTCATACAAATTTACAAATTCATTTCAATCTAAAAAATTTCCACATATTTTGATGTGTTACTGGTAAAAATTTGTAACTTTTAAGTTAAAAAGAGTAATTAAATACTTCAATCTTCTTCATACTAACATTTCTTTCATTTATAATGCAGTGTAATCTATAAACAAACATTTCCTTCAATCATAAAACAGTGTAATCTATAAACAAGCATTGCCTTCAATCATAAAACAGTGTAATCTATAAACAATCATTTCCTTCAATCATAAAACAGTGTAATCTATAAACAAACATTTCTTTCATTTATAATGCAGTGTAATCTATAAACAAACATTGCCTTCATTCATTAAACAGTGTAATCTATAAACAAACATTTCCTTCAATCATAAAACAGTGTAATCTATAAACAAACATTTCTTTTATTTATAATGCAGTGTAATCTATAAACAAACATTTCTTCCAATTATAAAGCAGTGAAATCTATAAACAAACATTTCTTCCAAATGTAAAGCAGTGTAATCTATAAACAAACATTTCTTTCAAATGTAAAGCAGTGTAATCTATAAACAAACATTTCCTTCAATCATAAAATAGTGAAATCTATAAACAAACATTTCTTCCAAATGTAAAGCAGTGTAATCTATAAACAAACATTTCTTCCAAATGTAAAGCAGTGTAATCTATAAACAAACATTGCCTTCATTCATTAAACAGTGTAATCTATAAACACTCATTTCCTTCAATCATAAAACAGTGTAATCTATAAACAAACATTTCTTTCATTTATAATGCAGTGTAATCTATAAACAAACATTTCTTCCAATTATAAAGCAGTGAAATCTATAAACAAACATTTCTTCCAAATGTAAAGCAGTGTAATCTATAAACAAACATTTCTTCCAAATGTAAAGCAGTGTAATCTATAAACAAACATTTCTTCCAAATGTAAAGCAGTGAAATCTATAAACAAACATTTCCTTCAATCATAAAACAGTGTAATCTATAAACAAACATTGCCTTCAATCATAAAACAGTGTAATCTATAAACAAACATTTCCTTCACTCATAAAACAGTGAAATCTATAAACAAACATTTCTTCCAAATGTAAAGCAGTGTAATCTATAAACAAACATTTCCTTCAATCATAAAACAGTGTAATCTGTAAAAATATGTCCTTCAATTATAAAATAGTGTTACCCATTTAAAAACATTTCCTTCAATCACAATACATTGTAATCTATAAACAAGCATTGCCTTCATTCATAAAACAGTGAAATCTATGTACACACATTTCCTTCAATCAATAAACAGTGTAATATATAAACAAACATTTCTTTCACTCATAAAACAGTGTAATCTATGTCCACACATTTCCTTCAATCATAAAACATAGTAATCTATAAACAAACATTTCCTTCACTCATAAAACAGTGTAATCTATATAAAATTTTTCCTTCATTCATAACACAGTTTAATTTATAAACAAACATTTTCTTCAATCATAAAGCACTTAGGGTAGGTCATATGGCGACTTTTCAGTTTTAATGGTGGAGGATAACCTCAGGTGCCCCTCTGTGCATGACTTCAGGCATGAACTGACACCCGAGTAAAACGCCGATGTTCTGTAAGCTAGAAATCAAACCAGGTAGTCCTAATGAAACTTTCTAGTTTTCACAATTCTCCCTGAAATACTTCCATTTGTATATACAACAATGAACCAATTTTTTCTACATTTTATCTTGCGTGTCTTGCTCAAAAGTAATAATTCCTTAAACTTAACTATGTTCCAACATAGCCAAATTACAATATTTGAAAGCTATTGTGCTACCACTATGTTTAAAGTTTACATAATTAGAAAAGTAAATAAAAAAGTAGTACTGCATGAATACTGTTTGTTTGTTTTCTGGTTTATATGCTAATTTTAAAACTTTTTTGGTCAAATCACACAGTTGATCCATCTGACTTTCCTGGATAATAAACCAGTAATGGCCAACTCCTCTGCAAGTGACTGACTACTTTGCTACATGTACTTATCCCACATGATTTCTAAATCAGTGGTGAATCAGCGAAGAGAGATAAATGACCATAAGACTCAACGTCTAAGATCAATTGTCACGGAGAAATTACCCCTCTCCAGAGGACCAAACCAGTGACCCCTAGAGTACAAAATGTGATGCTCTCCCTATTGAGTTAGGCAAGCAGGTTTGACAAACCATATGTAAATTGTTTCAGTGATCAGTTCCTCTTTTTACAACCTTTATTTTGAAGCCTGAATGCCTGCCACTTTAACCTCTTTCCTTGTGCTGTAGATCTAGGCCACAAGTTTATATGCTTATCTGTCCTGTTATACCAAACTTAACAGTATTAGCTGATTAGTTTTTGCTTTTTTTACATTTAAATCCTGCAACAAGGGACAGTTCTAAATTCAATACAGGGCATCTCCTTTATACCAATTTATAAGGTGTAATGTTATTTTAGTTTTCAAAACCGTCATTTTTTTTTTCATAACTGTCTGATTTTTTTCATATTATCTGTCTTTCTTTCATGTATAGTCCACTCAGCACAAATTTTTTTCTTTAAATTCTTTATGGAAACTGATTCTATGAACACTCTAAAATACTCCTAACTACTGAATATATTTCATCTTTGTTTTACAAACTGGCTTCACCTTGATCCTAAAATCTTGTATAATTTAACTTTTGGTGTCCAATTCATACATCAATTATGATTGGAAGGTTTGTTAGAGATAAACTATACAATATTTGTATGACTGTTATCGGAATAGTTGTCTAATAGGTTTAATACATATTTCTCGGGGTGGTTCAACCACAGGTATCACCGTTTTGAACACAAATGAGCGTTCCCCATTCCACAATTTACCATCAAATGGCACAACAAACTTGTCTGATGATGATATGTAATTTTTGATAGATTTTAATTCTATTTCTGGTGTAATATTACAATTTCGCACATGTACCGTCACAACATGCGGGAGATTCTGTACAAATTTTACTAGACGAGTTAACGCCACGCTGGACATTGTCACTGCCCTCAGCTGTATAAGCTCGATATTTGCCATGTCGGGTGTCAGCGTCAATGACCCTTGACTTAGATCTATGCCATTCAGAGCAATGTGTTTCACATTAACTAACGATGGTAATACTTGCCTAAATGTTTCAATTTCAGTGAATGACGTGAGGTCACTACAAATTAAGGTATGAAGTTTTCCGGCTGTATGGAGCTGCCGGAAACATGCAGAGGCAAGACCCTGTTTGGGTAGTTCTCCGATTCGACATTCCTCTAGCGATGATGCATCTATTGTCAAATGAGATATAGGTAAGTCCCCGACTCCTAATCGCCTTAGATCTGAATGCTCGGACAAGTCCAAGTTGATTCCGCGACATGAAATACCATGATCGGTACACGACAAATTGTGAAGTCTAACTTCCTTCATGTCCTTCTTGCTACTTATCATATCCAAAATGGCCTCCAATACTTCATGACACATTGAATAGTTGCTGATACACACATATTCTAAGTGTTGTAAATTTACAATGGACCCACCGAGACTAGGAGAGATTGAGCATGAATTCTCTTCAAATATATTTTTCTTAAATATCAAAGTCAAACATTTCAATTTACTGACCAATAAGCCAGCAAGATTCACATCAACGCTATCGCCCCTGAAGTATACTTTCTCGATGCTGCTTAGATCAGACCGAGCAAGTAAATCAACAATTTCAGGTATACGACGACTGCCTTCATCATCAATATATACCGATCTTATATCACATGTACTGTGTTTCACCAGTGATACTAACTGTTCATTATAATTTTCTGCTTCAATGTTTTCAGTTATGAAAATATCATGCAAGCTCACGTCAACTTCCGTACTTTCTGGGTCTTCCCTAAAACAAGACATGTACATGTATTGAATATTTTTCAACGGCTCAATGTACATCTTCGAACAATGCGCCATGGTTCTGTAGGTCAGTGTCGTTTCATCTCCATTAATCACTGGCAGCAACACGCGTGATATTTCAGAAACAGCTTTCTTATTCATACCACTTACAAACTCAAACACGGCAGACATATCAAGTACATTTTGTACATTTTTGCATCCTTTGAGAAAATTTTCTTCCATATCTGACACACTTTGACGACTTATATACACAGCACATAGATAATCTTGCATGGTCTTATAAGGAAACCATAAATTTGTGTATTCTTTAATTAAAGTTTTGATGTTACGGTCTGTTAAAATTCCACTTAGAACACACATCTTCACATTATCTTCGCTTAAATACTCTTCAGCAAACCTCTCCCTACATTGAAGCAGTTTTTCTTGGTTATTACTGAATCCTGAATAGAAAGATAGTTTTCCTAAGGCCATCAAAATTGCATCATAATTTTCATGATAGTTCCCCTCTCTGTAACATTTTGGAATGTCACTCAGCAGCGGTTGCCATGTTTGCCGGAGTCCAGCTGGTTGCTTTAAAGTTCTTGCTATATACAGATCAATGACAGTTGAAGATATTTTCATTTTTGAAAAGTCTGACGAGGGATCCGTGCAAAACAAACACATCAGATACATCAGTATTAAGGGATTAGACACTAGGTCTTCCAGTTGATTTTTGGCGATTATTGCATCAAATGATGTCAACAGATTTTCTCCTTTGCATAGATCTCGAGCTTGTAACTGTGATATGGCCTTTTTCTCCAACAATCTCCCTTGCTCTCTTGTAAGTTCCTTTAACTCTATTCTGTTATCAACTTCACTATTTTTCAACGGCACACTGCTAAATTTCCATCGCCTCAACGTGGTTATGTACGTGCTGTGCACCCGGCAATTTCTGTGAGGGATGAATTTCGGGGTCCTGTAACACTTCTTATCAGCAGTATCTTCACAATGGGTCCATTCGTCCATCCCGTCCATGATGATCAAAGATTTTTCATGGTGTAAAAGTTCCTGCAAGGCCTGTATGCCTATTGTTTGACAGTTAGGCATATTTGGGATAACACAATGCAAAATTATATCATCAATGGCACATACATTCAATGCATCGCGTAACTGAATGAAATATAGAAACTCAAATGCAAGCAAATTGTTCAAATCTTCTTTCTTGAAATACGTTTTAAGCTCAGGTTTGGGACAGTGGGCTTGGCACCATGCCAATGTCAGATACTTTACAAATGCCGTTTTACCCCAACCCGGATCAGCTACTACATATATTTCTTTATTTTCTTTAATTTTTTTTTGTAGATCCTCGGTCCAAAACACATCCGTTAATGATCTGACTGAGGATTTAAGCTCTGAACCAACTCTTATCTGAACGTCATAGCGATTCATTTCAGGAACAACGTAGAAATTCAACAGGGGAGCCTCGTGTTCATCACAAAGGGGCGACAATGGTATCATTGTATACTGGTCTCTGTAAAATTTTATCATGTCCTGTTTAAGACCTGAAATAAAGTATCACATTGTTAATATATTATTTTCACAGGCTTTTGGCTCCTTAATTATATGTAGTAAACAGGTAAACAGCAAAATGGACTGTACCAAAAATTTTAAAAGATGAAGAGTCCATGATAAAAATGTAGCAAAAGGCAATTTATCACATACCTTTGCCAGTTTTGCAATTCCATAAAAACGGTATTGCACAGCCATGCATATATTTTAAAAAGACTTCATTTGTGTTAAACAAACATAGTGTAAAGACAAACTAAATGTAAGCGTTACACTATAACGCGTCATAGAAAAATGATTATTTTTCACTTTAAACACTCTTTATTTAAGATATGTGATACATAAAATATTATATACATGAATTTATTGAATTCATTGAATAAAATAACATTATGCTCGCCAGAGGCTCGTATAATATAACTTTATTCAACTTGTTCAATAAATTTAGTATTGAACTTACACTCACTCAGTATCCACTATTTACTGGTTTAAAAACAAGAGCTGTCACAGGAGACAGCGAAGCTCGACTAATAATATACTGGACGCAGTAAGGAGGACAAAACTATGAATGAAAAATGAAGTATGTATAATAATGTATTAAGTTATAGTAAAATAATAACATTTGTTTACATAAATTCCAAGATCAAGGGGAATAATTCTAGAAATAGTCATGCTAGAGTTATGAACCTTGTCACACAACATGTGTATAATGATAAGAAATATATATTTGAAGTTTGAAGTAGATACCTTAAAAAGTAAAGAAGTTATAATATTTCTTAAAGAAAATCTTAAGTTCAAAGAGAGATAAATCTGTAAATATTGCTTCAAGAGTTATGAACATTGTCACATAAAATGTAATTGATGATAAGGAAAATGTATTTGAAGTTTGAGTAAGATACCTTTAAAACTAAAAAAGTTATAGTAAAAATAAAAATTTTCTAGTATAAATTCTTGCAATATTGGTGCTAGAGTTATGAACCTTGTCACATAACATGTGGATGATGATAAGGTAATATTTGAAGTATGAGGTTGAACCCTTAAGAAATAAAGAAGTAACAGTAAAAAATAGTATTTTTTAAGGAAAATTCTATGTTCAAGGGGAGATAAATCTGAAAATATTGGTGCTAGAGTTATGAACCTTGTCACATAAGATGGTTATAATGATAACGTACATATATTAATAATTTGAAGTATGAGGTTGATTTCATAAGAAGTAAAGAAGTTATAGTAAAAAATAGTATTTTTTAAGGAAAATTCTATGTTCAAGGGGAGATAAATCTGAAAATATTGGTGCTAGAGTTATGAAACTTGTCACATAAGATGGGGATGATAATAAGGTACATATATTTGAAGTATGAGGTTGATCCCGTAAGAAGTAAAGAAGTTACAGAAAAAACAAGAGCTGTCGGAAGGACAGCACGCTCGACTATTCTAAGTGCTTGATAGTAAAAGAGCCTTGATAATGTTAAGTTTTTTAAGTTCACAAAAGGGCTAATTTTTTTTTATAAATTCAAGTTATAGGCCTTGGAGAGAGTCTAATTATACAGTATTGGCTTGACTATTCGGAAGGTAATGTCACAAGGGTGTTTTATTGAGTATAATAATACTAATTACCTATGAATACATAAATTTGACAGAAAAGGTACAAAGGCTTGTTATTAAGATGTTTTATTAAGTAAATCACAGCTTTATTATTATTAATGCTTAAATTGTCCCAAAAAAGGCACAAACCCTTCAGTAGTTATTGAGATAACAGCTTACAAGCAAAACTTTACCATGAATTTCTAAGTTAAAAAAGGGGAGAAAAATCAGCCTAAATGCAAGATAGAATTATGGATCTTTGTCAGTGAACTACAATTATGACTCTAAATGCATATGTGAAGTTTTAAATAAATATCTTTAATAGTTATTGAGATATGTAAACTTGCATGTAAACATTAACCAAGAGACTAAGTAGAAAAGGGGATATGAATCAGCCTTAATGCAAGATAGAGTTATGGAACTTGGTCAGTGACATACAATTATGACCCTCCAATTATGACCCTACGTGCATGTGTAAAGTTTCAAGTAAATATCTTTGAAGACCTTTAACCAAAATTTCTAAGTTCCAAAGGGGCATAATTCTGTCAATATTGTAGGCAGAGTTATCCAACTTGTCAATCTGATGTACCTTGTTACTATAAATAAGTATTGTAAGTTTCAATTGAATATCTCAAGCAATAATTGAGATATTTGACTTTACAAAAAACTTAAACCAAAATTTTTAAGTTAAAAAGGGCATAATTCTGTCAATATTGTAGGCAGAGTTATCCAACTTGTCAATCTGATGTACCTTGTTACTATAAATAAGTATTGTAAGTTTCAATTGAATATCTCAAGCAATAATTGAGATATTTGACTTTACAAAAAACTTAAACCAAAATTTGTAAGTTAAAAAGGGGCATAATTCTGTCAATATTGTAGGCAGAGTTATCCAACTTGTCAATCTGATGTACCTTGTTACTATAAATAAGTATTGTAAGTTTCAATTGAATATCTCAAGCAATAATTGAGATATTTGACTTTACAAAAAACTTTAACCAAAATTTCTAAGTTAAAAAGGGGCATAATTCTGTCAATATTGTAGGCAGAGTTATCCAACTTGTCAATCTGATGTACCTTGTTACTATAAATAACTATTGTAAGTTTCAATTGAATATCACAAGTAATAATTGAGATATTTGACTTTACAAAAAACTTTAACCAACGCAGACGCCGACGCGGACGCTGACGCCGGGGCGACTTCAATAGCTCTCATATTCTTCGAATAGTTGAGCTAAAAATTAGTATTTTTTAAGGAAAATTCTAAGTTCAAGGGGAGATAAATCTTAAAATATTGGTGCTAGAATTGTGAACCTTGTCACATAAGATGTGGTTGATGATAAGGAACATATATTTGAAGTGTGAAGTTGAAACCTTAAGAAATGACAAAGTTATAGTGAAAAATATTTTACTGCACCAAAACTTTAATCTGAAATCTGGACGCGGACGCTGACACCAGGCGAGTAGGACAGCTCTCCATATACTTATAGTCAAGCTAAAAAACAAACAATTACTCACGTTTTCTCAAAGCGTAATATTCTTTCTTTGCCTGATTAAAACTAGTTCCTAATGATGCCCAAAAGGCATCTTTATATTCCCGTCTTGGGGTTCCTATTTTCATTTTTGGTCTTGTGTTGTATGGCTCTATGTTTTCTTCTTTGCTACTTTCTTTTTTAAAAAATTTTTGCCCAAGCTTTTTTAAAGAATCTCGATATTTTGAGGCTTCTTTAGCTGCTTCTTTTTTTGCTTTTTTTGCTTCCTTCATACTAACTCCTTTCATTGCTGTATTGACCTGTGTCACAGCAGGTGTCAATATCTTCAGTAATTCAGAAGATGACAGCGTTTCTGTACCCTTTACCTTATTGACTGCCTTTTTCGAAAATGTTATCAAATCAAGATTTTGTTTTTCGATCACTTTCTTCTGTTTATCAATGCCAGTTTTCAAATCCTCCTTTATAGCTTGTGCAACCTCATCCAAAATATGTTGAACAATATCTATATTAATATCCAAAATATCATGTTCAAGCTGAAATGGACGAATGAGAAATGATATAAGAAATTGAAATATTACTAATAAACATGAGGTATACATCCAAGTGTGTTGTCTTTACAGCTTATATAATTATTACTATTTTACATGTATTTATAAAAATAAGCAAGAAAATTCTTTAGAAGTTCACAAATAACAAACATTACAGGCAATTTCCGGTAATTCCTTGCTGATTCCCGCCAATTCCAGTCATTCGGCTGATTCAGGTACCAGTAAGTGGAGAAACCGCATAAATGTGTCCATATATAGGAAATTCTAGATATTGATATGACTTTTTCAAAAATTTTATATGACTGAAAATGATGGACCTTCATGTTATAGACCAAACAAAACAAATCTAATAAATCAAGGTGTGGCCAAAACATTATGCAAACAGACCATTTCTAAGATTTGCTGGTCCCATGGTTTCAAATCCCATTATCAGCAAGCCAGTGCTTCCATGAGCAAGAAACTCTACACACAATGCTTAGTAGTAGTACTGGATTGTTCTAGGAACAGATATCAAAAGTGTGTTGATAAACTTATATCAAATTTAAATAAATCACTAGTACATGTAGACATATGAACTCCATCTAATGAAAATTACACAAAATGTACACGCATCCTTTGTGAGACACGATTAGCTTTAATAAGAACTAAAAGTACCTCTTTTACTATCATTTTTGCTTCCCTTGCATTTTCGTCTGTTGCCAGGTCACCAGGGACAGACAAAATACTCTTTAAGACGGTGAAATATTGTTGAAGGTCTTCATCCTCTAACTGAAGACTCGACAATTCCCTCATATCACTACCAATAAGTCTTGCCTGTTGAAAAGACAATAGTTATAACTTAAAATTATACACAAGTGATCAGTGATCACATGACTGTGTCACCTGATGATGGGATAGCCAATTATTAAAGCAGTTGTACTGAGGGGTGATTGGACAATTTAGCCCCAATATATTGCGGCTACTTTATAGCATGTCACAACTATTGTGTAGCAGGGGACGTAACAAGAGCTGTCACAGGAGACAGCGAAGCTCGACTAATGAAATACTGGACGCAGTAAGGAGGACAAAACTATGAAAGAAAAATCAATTATGTATAATTATGTATTAAGTTATAGTAAAAAAATAACATTTGTTAACATTAATTCCAAGATCAAGGGGAATAATTCTAGAAATAGTCATGCTAGAGTTATGGACCTTGTCACACAACATTTGTGTAATGATAAGAAATATATATTTGAAGTTTGAAGTAGATACCTTAAAAAGTAAAGAAGTTATTATATTTCTTAAAGAAAATCCTAAGTTCAAAGAGAGATAAATCTGTAAATATTGCTTCAAGACTTATGAACATTGTCACATAAAATGTATTTGATGATTAGGAATAAGTATTTGAAGTTTGAGGTAGATACCTTTAAAAATAAAAAAGTTATAATAAAAAATAACATTTTTCTAGTAAAAAAATCTAAGTCTATGGGGAGATAATTCTTGCAATATTGGTGCTAGAGTTATGAACCTTGTCACATAAGATGTGGATGATGATAACGTAAATATATTTGAAGTATGAAGTTGATCCCTTTAGAAATAAATAAGTAACAGTAAAAAAAATAATATTTTTTATGGAAAATTCTAAGTTCAAAGGGAGATAAATCTGAAAATATTGGTGCTAGAGTTATGAACCTTGCCACATAAGATGGGGAGGATGATAACGTAAATATATTTGAGGTATGAGGTTGATCCCTTAAGAAATAAAGAAGAAACAGTAAGAAATAGCATTTTTTTAGGAAAATTCTAAGTTCAAGGGGAGATAAATCTGAAAATATTGGTGCTAGAGTTATGAACCTTGTCACATAAGATGGGGATGATGATAAGGTACATACATTTAAAGTATGAGGTTGATCCCTTAAGAAATAAAGAAGTAACAGTAAAAAATAGTATTTTTTAAGGAAAATTCTAAGTTCAAGGGGAGATAAATCTGAAAATATTGGTGCTAGAGTTATGAACCTTGTCACATAAGATGTGGTTGATGATAAGGAACATATATTTGAAGTTTGAAGTTGAAACCTTAAGAAATGACAAAGTTATAGTGAAAAATATTTTACTGCACCAAAACTTTAATCTAAAATCTGGACGCGGACGCCGACGCCGGGGCGAGTAGGACAGCTCTCCATATACTTCGTATAGTCGAGCTAAAAATCCTTCACAGGTCAAAATGCATTTTTTTTATTCAAGGGCCATAACTCTCATAAAAATCAACCAGATAACCAAGTAGGTATGGGATGATAACATCAATAAAGAAGTACAGTCATTAGTTTCTCGAGCCACATAAGTATCTAAAATTGAAATTATGTAAGCTTGAACAGACAGACAAAAGAATAGTAATCCCTACAATGTCCCTACAAGTCTGTAGCAGACAATACAAAAATAGAAATTCAAAACCTCTAGAAAATGGAAATGAGCTGCTCAATCATTGAATTTTAGTTTTATTGAAATGTTTTGTTTTTGTTTTGTGTCCCTTAACCTTCAGTCTGCTGGCAGTGTCTAAATCTACCCATGTGATAACTGCAAACCCAAAATCAGCCTACAAATGAGCCGCGTCACGACAAAACCAACATAATGGTGTGCATCCGCGCAGTCTGATCAGGATCCATGCTGTTCGCTTACAAACCCTATAACAAGTAGAGAAACTGATAGCGAACAGCAAGGATCCTGATCAGACTGCGCGGATGTGCAGGCTGGTCTGGATCCATGCTGGTCGCAAACGCATTATGTTGGTTTTGTCGTTACACGGCTCAAATATGTGCCATCTGATCATGATCTACAAGGTTTATGTTATCCAGTATTTACTGGAAGTGCTTATTCAGGGGCATCAATATTAATTGTCTCCGTATTGCCCAGGTTGTCCAACAGCCTATACAGACAAACTTGTGGAAATTTTCAAGAATTTATTTTACTATAATATAAATATCCTACCAACAAGTTAAAAAAATGCAGAGAAGTAAGTCAAAACCTTATTTTATCGGCCATGACTTATTTTGAAGTTTTTCTTAAAAATGGTAATATATTTTGTCCAGATTAAAAGGTGGAATGGACAAGACTGTTTAAAGATGTTTAAGTGTGGAAAGGGTACAAGAACAATGTTTTTATTTTTGTATATAAAGAATAAATATACCAGTATTGTTTCATGCATTGTCAGACCCCAAGGATATTAATTCTACTGAAATACATTCATTACGAATAAATTGTATAGGTAACAAGTATTACCTGGTTAAAAAGATGGGTACAATTTAGTTATATGAAAATGTATTGATACATATATTTTAAATTAGTTTGTTTTTTTTCTTCTTTTTTTTTTATAAAAGGCAATTTAAAACATATTATACATCTGATTTACCTTTTCAAAAATGTTGTACTGATTGCCAAGCTGTTCATGAATTTTTGACTGAAATCCTTTGTGATTAATGATAACACTGATAACTCCACTGAAGTCTGTCTCGGCTGGAATTGTTACATCTTTATAGTTGATGTCCGGTGGCATGAAACATTTGGCAACCTCCCATGGATTTCGACACCATCTAGTGGCATCAGTGATTTCGAAAGCTGGACTATAGTACCTGTGTGCGCTAAGTATTTCACATTTAAATTTAGAGCATATATTATTTGGACAGCCTGCGTGATGATATTGTGTGGCAAAACTTCTGTGAAAATTGCATTTGCCATTTCTAGCATTGCATATTCTGCTGGTAGGACATGTCACGACATTTTCTGTGCGACAACTTGAACATGTTGTTCCACTTGGAAGTCCTTTGCTTGCACAAATATCATCTAAACACTTCTGCTGAAATTGCTCAATTTCATCATAAACAAATGGTTCAATTCCTTCACAGGTAAAATAAACCGCTAAATGGGCTTTCACCCAATTGCTGTATTTCTTTGCTACAATTTCAGGGCTGTAAGAGGCCATGTCACTCTTTTATCTGTGTACCATCTAGTAAGACTACCATCCGCAAAAATGACACACTACAAAAAAACAACAAGAGAGCAACAATTAATTTTAGCATGTATTTAGATTATCGGAGTGTTTTAATTATTAAACATTTATATAACTTACCCACTGCAAAGGAAAGATATCATAAATAATTTTTGACTTTTATTCATACTTTGTCTTATATTGGACTGTTGCATTAAGCGACCATTTTTGTTGCTTAATACACATTTGACTTATTTATTAAATTGTCAGTACATATAAATGAAGCCTTCAAGGACTAACTGTAACTGTCCTATCAAATAAACTAAGAAATGTCTGTCTGCTTGACTATTTTTCAAAATATTACAGTAAAACAATTTTGCGCAAATATTTTGTTATAATGGAATATAATTCAGTAGTTTTCATATTAGAGCAATTTACATCTTGATCAGTGACTTTTAAATAAGACACTTTAAGCTGCATGCCTCCAAATCAACCAAAATATTTCATAAAAGTCAAACATGAGTAAAATATACAAATTTTTTTGAAGACAGTAAAAGGATTCAAGATTCAAGTAATAATTTACATGTTATGTGCAAATAATGACTTATATGTAACTGTATTATTAATATCACCATGCATGTATTTCTAATATGTGACTAAATGCAGTAAGGTCTGTTTTTGCATATTTTTGGCCTCTTTTTGGTAATTTTTTTTTTGGAATTCATAAGTCTGTTTTATGTTATTACAATGAAAATTTATTTACAGAAATAAAATTTACTAATAAACCATGGGAAAATCAACAGTGTTATTGTGTTAACAGGATGTCACTATGACTAATACATGATTGTATGAAGTTGTCAGATGTATAGTCATGATCAATATTCATGTATTTGTCAGCCTTTTCTATAATTTTGCTCCTAAAATTTCCCTTCAGGACAAGCCCTTGAATGACCTACCTACCAACCTACATCCCCCACCCACTGAACCAGATCAGTACCTACCTACCATATGACAGTGTCTATTCTAGAAGGGGCAATAGGGGGATTCACTCATATTTTTGAGAATTCCTCCTGTTTTTTTTCAGAAACAGAGGGAAAATTTTACAAAGAGAAAGAAGGAAAAAGATAAAAAAAAATGTAACAAATTCTCACTTTTCGATAAAAATCCTCCCTGTTTTTCAAATCCTAGAATAGACAATGCAGACAATGCATTGCATTTACATAACAAAACAATTCAAAAGCCATACAATACATACAAACATTTAGTCAGTTAAAAAAAGAATGGTTATTTTGCATACATGTATCTTCTAATTTTAGCAGATAAGGAAATGGCAACTTATAACTACTTGATATTCTTGTTTAGACAAGTGTATACACAAGTTTTTTGTACAGGATGTCTTCAATTTCAGATTTAGGATCCCAAACTTTGAAAGGCATGACATACTGAAGTTAACTTCCATGAAAATAAACCGAAAACATCACTCAAGTATTCATCTTACTTGATAAGCAAACCTCAAAAAAAAATCTACCGTAAAGTTCCTAATAAACGCCCCTGCCCAAATAAAGGCCCCCCAGGCTTTTTGATATGGAAAAAATCTACTGCATCTGTGCTGAATTCATGAGTAAATCCATAATTTTATTCCAATTATTCAGAATCCATTTTATTTTAATGTATCATATGAACTTTAAAACCTTAACAATTTTTAATGCTATTACCAACACTTGCTAACACTAAATGTATTTACAATGATTTTTGGATTTAGGAAAAAAAAGTGTTTTATAGCCCCCCTTTTGGAAATGTTTAGCCCCTGGGGGCGTTTAATAGGAATTTTAAGGTACTTTGTCTAAATATATAACTATTAGATCAAAGCTAAATGTATAATGGAAACCCAATACCACAATCAGACAAATAAATTCACTGTTGAGACAGTCCCTAAATTGATTGCCAATGAACAAATGAATTTAATGTTGAGATAATCCCTAATTTCCAATACACCTTCGAGTATTACTAAAATAATGAAACCTATTGTTATGTAGATCTGTATTTGATCTGTCAATGGTAGAGTAATCGCAAAATTATAAATTAACAACCACTTTGAAATTAAACATGCCCAAACTAATTCCTCTCAAATTAAGTGTACAAGAAATGCATATTACCACAATGTTACAATGTCATATTAAATTGAAATTCTATATATGAAAAGACTAACAGGAAAAAAACAAAGTATTTGTGTACGATAATTATTTAGTATATACATATACATTTGTATAAGATCTGTAGAAAATTATCAAACTGTATCCATTCTTCAACAAATGAAGACCAATAAAACAAATATTTATGTTCCTTGTTTCACAAATATTGAATTAATATTAATAAATGCAAGAACAGATCTAATTACTTCTGAGATGTTATAACAATTAAAATGCATAAAAAAACACACACAAAAAACCACTCACCAAAAAAAATCTTTAAAACATGCCAGCTTTCATGAATTATGTTTTAACCTGCTATGCATTTAATTCGGTACAAGTCAACCCGGCCCCAAGTCAGCCCGCCCCAAATTGGTCAACAAGGCCCCAAACCAATGTTATTTCTGGTCAACCCGGCCCCATATTTTTATTATTTATTTTGCTTTAAAATATTAACACTTATCAAGAAATAAAACAAAAATTAACAACAACAAAAGTTTAACGATGATATCTTTTATTATTTATTTTATATAAAAACTATCAATATATACAAACAAACAACACATGCATAGTTTACTGTTTTTACCGTCGCGAACATAAGGTGACGTCTGTCTTCAACCTATACCTCTCTACGATAGAAGTATTAAGAAAAAACTAAACTTTTTTATTGACATATCATGGAAAAGAAACCTTAATGTGTTCAAATCATATTTATGTTATTGTATGTTAAAAAAGAAAAAAAGTAATGACCAAAAGCAAACTAAAGTGTTTCCATTAACGCATTAAAAACAATCAAATGAACTGAAAAAAAGATTGTTGGAAACTTAATTTATACAAACCTTTTAACTCGGAATTCTATGCATTTCTTCCTAATTATCGCATTAACACTCACGAAACCATCTTTTATTTACATCGAATAAAGACATGAAAGATACTTAAGTCTTAATCGGTGCAATTAAATTTACCGACATTTTTGTGCCAGTTCATGTTTTTTTTAGTTAATAATCTTCTATTAATAATAAATCATTTTTATTCCATCATACAACAAAATGACCTGAATAAATTTCTTTGATAAATATATATTTTGGGGCCGGAATGACCGATTTTGGGGCCGCACTGACCAATTTTGGGGCCGCATTGACCAAATAAAAATACTGTGGGCCGGATTGACCAATTTTGGGGCCGGGTTGACCAATTTTAAGGCAGGGTTGACTTGGGGCCAGGTTAACTTGGGGCCGGGTTGACTGTAATTCCATTTAATTTATAAGTTTTTCCAAGTTCACCTTTATCAGGAAAGTGCACATATACATTTTCTTGGACTTACTGTTCTGAGTTTGAGTCCACTTGTAAACCAAAATTTGTTTGTTTATTCTAATCTATAACTCGAGTTGATGGGAAAAAGACACTTCACCCTCAGGCAATTTACACCTTAAATAGTAATACTAAAGACACTTCACCCCTCAAAACAATTTAATCCCTTAAAATCATAAGACCCTTATTATTTCTAAAGCAGCGTGCCTCCAAATTCATGCTAATTTTCGGGACTGAGACACTCCTCCCACCCCCCTTATTTTTCAGTTTTGTTTGTTTTTTACATAAAAGGTGATATGGTGGTAAGGGACATTTCGTCCAAATATTTGTACATTTTGAACCATGCCATGGACACTAATCACACCATTTCTTGGACCCTTATATGAATTAATCCCCTTAGTTTTTTGGTTTTGTTTCCGTTTTACATAAAGAAGGTGAAAAAGATAATGGAAAGAGACTTGAAGTGAAACGGTAATTGGACATATTGAACCAGACACTGCGGACCAGATTTTGGAACACTTCTATCATTTTTTCGAAATGTCCCAAAATCTAGGGCGCAAATTATGACCAAACAATCTGGTTCGAAGTGTCTGGTCCGAAAAGTCCGTGGTCCGAAATATCCATTAAGTTGTTGTTTTATCATAATTTTGATTATTTAACAAGAACAACATCATTGTAAACCGTACACTTACATGTGCACCCCTGGATCTATCTTTCTCCAAATAACACACGTTTTAATTCTTAGAAATTCATAACATTTGATCCTATTGTTTTCTTGTCTTAGTCACCTTCTCGGCCAACATTTGGAACTGCCTCGGCTATTATCTATAATATTGACGGAAAGGGCCGAGTAGTTGCGATTGCTCGGCCGTTACAACTCGTTCTTCATCGCCCACGATGGTTTGTCAGTGATTACGGTAGCGTACTAGTTAATGCCAAATCTAATATGTTACTATGATTAAAAACTTCGTTTTATGGAATCATTAATCACAACAAAATTACATGATTCGTTTTAATTGAGTCAGTACATGTGGGCACAGATCTTTTACATATATTTAGCTCCATGATGTTGGATAATGAAAAGGTGCAACATACCTAGTAAACGCACTCTAGCACCGGCTGGAGCGGTACTCAATTTTCAACACTTAAAAGTGTTGAAATCAATGACCCCGAACAGGGTCTTTCGATTCTATTTGAAAGACACTGCCCCGAAGGACCAGACAAATGTAACAACACTACCAAACGAATGAATTCAAACCATGTTATGCATTTTTATGATTAAAAAAAACGATCGCCTTAAAAGTTATACTTGATATAATTAACTGCAAATGTCAATATGATTAAATTGTTCATTTTACATTAAAAGTTGTTTTAATGTTGATTGTTAATTTCTAGACCCGGATCAGTTTGACTAGCTCTACTTGATCGTTTGTTTCATTTTTCCTAGCATGGAATTATAACTAAATGAAGAATGTTTTTGTTCGTTTTCGATTCTGGTCGAAACTGTTTGTTTCTTTTTGATATGAAAATGCCTTACTTAACCAAATTAAATAACACTTTAAAAGCAGACGACACATTTGTGTCACATATTTTCGCGGATGAATGTCGCTGCAAACATATTTTGCACGAAATGCACGCAGTCAGATACGTTTCCGTTGTCGGTACGGGCTGCGGCCTATTAATTAGTAAATAAACTGTTCGGGTAAATTTTAATGGCAAGTTTCACGTGATAAATTGCGATCAGTACATAGAGGATATTAAATGAGTGTAGGTTTAATACTAAATTTATTGAACTAGTTGAATAAAATCATATTATGCGAGCCTCTGGCGAGCATAGGGCCTAATATTGTTTTATCACACACCCGTGCCGATTTTGCGACTCGGCAAAAATGGTATATAATTACACGGCGTGCATACATTTTGACGTGGCGTCATAATTAGCGTAATAACCAAACATTCCACATGTAAAGACGCGCTAAATGTTCGCGTTGTGCTATAGACGAGTCAATGAAAAAATGACTTTTTTTTCATTTCAAAAGGTCTTTATATTGGGAATCTGATCAATAGATTATTTAATTCGTGTAAGTTCATTATTGAATTTATTGAACGTTGAATAAAATAATATTATGCTCGAATAAAATAATATTATGCTCGCCAGAGGCTCGCATAATATAATTTTATTCAACTCGTGCAATAAATTCAGTATCGAACTTACACTCATGCAATTATCCTTTATTTTTTGGTCGTCACTTTGTTATGCTCCGTCGAAAACGTCTCGGAAACTGACGTCACAATATACTCGCTGACGAAATAGTAGGACGTTACTGTCTAGGATACCATTGTTACGTTCTGACGAAATAATAATGCGTCGAATGCGTCAGTATATTTTTATTCGACGTTAGCATGCAGGGAAATGTGTTAATAACCCAAAATCTTTACATTAAAAATGGAAACTAAGACTGATACAACTAAACATAATAATAATAATAAAAATAATAATAATAAAAAAATAATAATAATAAAAGGAAGATGATGAAAAAGAAGAAGAAATAAAGGTAATGATAATATTTTTTGAAAATGATAACAATACAATGTAAATACAAATAATATTAGAAATAATAATAATTATAATAATGATAATATGAAAATATTGATGATAATAATAATAATAAAAGGAAGAAGATGATGAAAAAGAAGAAGAAATAATGATAATAAAGATAATGAAAATATTTACTGGAAATGATAACAATACAAATAATATTACAAAAATATGAGAAATAATTGAAGAAATATTAATAATAATAATAATAATATTAGAAATAATAATAATAATAATAATAATAATAATAATAATAATAATAATAAAAATAATGATGATGATGATGATGATGATGATCAAAAATAATGTAAATGATTTTACTGTCATTATCATCATCATCATCCCTATTATACAAAAGGGTGTGTTTTCTTTAATTAAAAGCAGGAATTCAAAAATCTGGAGAAAGTGCGATTCCTCGGAAGCATTAATCACAACAAAATTGCATGACAATTGTATATTTGACAAATTTTCCTTATTAAGAATACAATGTTGATTTGCGTCATTGATTACGTTCAAACACATATGCCTAATCCGGTCCAATATAGGCAGTCTCAAATACATTGTGATGACAACGACACGTAATCATATTCGTTAGCATTGTTTTTAAAGATGGCTGCGCCCATGTAATTTATTTTGATTACGAAACACGTGAAAATATTTTCTGATCTGAAACATCGGACTGAATTTCATTGTGGTACCATAATGGGGAAAAAGAAGCAGTCAACTGCTGCTCTTGGAAAATCTATCATTAGGGATAGGTTTGGGAAGACAGATCGAAAATCTGCTGATACATTTGTAAGTGATTTTTTTTCAACTGCAGTTTAACTGTTTAATTTTCATCAAATTCGATCTAGGTTATTTTTTCTATTTCTACATCATACTGCTTTAAAATCGTTTTCGATCACTCTAAGCAGGTATACATTGTATACATTTAAGAAACAGCTTTAAGATACAAGGGAATCCGGGAACGAGTCCCTAGCTCTTATTGAATGAATCCGGGTCAGCTCGGCCCTAAAACATACTCGGCCCCCGAGTCAGCTGGGCCCTATTCCAACTCGGCACGGGTCAACTCGGCCCACTTTTAAATATGGGTAAAAGACATCAAAGGACTCCTATTGTCAAGGGGTATTATTATCAATCAATGTGTATGTTAAGGATACCGATTAATTAGGTGATAATTATGATTGACTCATTCATTCAAATTTGATTAGTGACCACCTGCAATTAATTAGAAGCTAATGCTATTAAGTAAACACGTTTTTGTTTCATATTTTTTTGAAAATTACTTTACAAACTTTTTAATTTCATCGAATCTGCAAGACAAATAAATAACTTTTTTTCTAAATATACTTTATTTCGGCAGAGGTACAATGTATAATTATATAAAAATAATAATAATAAGATATTTCTTATTATTCATTTACCTTAACAACATGCAAAGCAAAGTAAAAACGTTATATAGGCCTATATATTTTTGTAAAGTGGGCCGAGTTGACCCGTGCCGAGTTGACCCGTGCCGAGTTGGTATAGGGCCGAGTTGACTCTTTTCCTTATTGAATAGACCCCTTGGTTCTTTTACATGCCCAGTGTATAGCACTGATACATGCGAGTATTACCTGGATTTCTTACCAGTACACCTCTAGGTAGGTGGGAAACACTGAAAGTGTCTCTGAAAAATCCCAAGGGTGTAACCCAGGATCTAACCCGGGACCTCAGGAGTGATAGTCAGTGGTTTAACCAACTGAGCTATCGCGCCACCTATTATTATAGTTATAACTGATAAGCTGAGTAGAAATCATTTTGCTGACAAATAAAGGTTTAAAAAACAACGAATGTCATCTATAAAGGAATGTAATGATATGTCATTCAATGAGGCCATCCTTAAAAAAATGTTTGTTTGCAGTAACGCGACCGACTCACAAAATTTGCTCAAATTTTTTTTTCATGGTCTGGATAAAAAATTTTTCTTTTTGAATCAGAAAATTATGCCTTGTGGTTTGTTTTCGTTCTTTTAAAGGTTAATAGAAGAAATAAAATGTAGGTCTTATTAAATTAGAATTCAGTTATCAATTTATTAATTGTTACCAGATTATCAAAGCATATATTGTCCAGCATTTTAAAATTCCATGTTTATTTGGAAGTACAGTTCAATAAAAAAAAAAAAATCGACCTACCTACCCACCTTGAAAATTCTGGGTCGGGTTACTGCAAACAAACATCTTTTTAAGGATGGCCTGATTGAAGTGTTTATTTCTTCTCATTACAGGTCAACCCCCAAAATAATTCAATTATGTATTGATTTTCAATTTGTTTTTTCTAAATTGTTTTTATTTTCTGTCAACATGAGAAAGTAGTGCAGTGTTTCTGCCAGACTTGATTATTTTGGTCATTTGATATTATTAATGGTAAAATATAAAAAGTCTATAAGTGTAATATTATAGACTTTGAAATATGATTTTTTTTTCAAAACAGTTTATATATAAAGTTTATAAATGTCAGATATTCATGTATATGATAAGTACATTAGTCCAGTTCATTGAAAGACATATCGCATTTTCTTTTTTTTACATTTCTACGTTTATCGGAAAATGCTGATTTGCCCAATGTAAAAAAAAGCTTTAAATCTGTGGTTAACGTCTAAATATTTGGACTAATAAATACATTTTATTTGGAATTTAAATCCGTGTTGAGCTTCACACCCCAAGTGTCTGTGGTTAACTTCTATTTCTCGCTTGATGCAGTTGCAAAGAAAAAAATCTTCTAAGGAAGAACCATTTTTTTATTTGTATTAATTTAAACATTTAATCTCAGTGTCCGGTCTACGTCTGTTTATTGCAGGAACTTTGACATTTTTTAATTTTGGCCACTAAAGCCACTATCTTTCGTGGTGTGCTTGCCTTTGTGATGCACATCATGACATATTGCTTGTTTACCCAGACCCTTAAATGTCTAAATCCTGTATACTGATTGTAGAACGGTTAAAAGTCGGACAGAAAATGTGCCAATAATTATAACGACACAGAATGGGTTAGCAATTTATACATACACCCAGTTACCGGAAGTAAATTTCGGATACTCAAACAATAATTGCCAATTTAAACGGGATGGAGCTAATAATAGGTGAAATAACTTAATGAAAAGACATCCAATGAAGGTAGATTATGGCTGCGTCATAGAAACACGCTTTGCATATTTCAATGCGCCATTCGTGAAACTATTGTGTCAAAAATGCAAGAAACGCAGAGTATCGGAAACACTGATAGTGTGGCCGACATTTTTTGTAAATAATAGTAGTGTACCTTATCTGTCTTCCAATTTGTGAAATCTTTCGCAGGGATGTAGACATGTGTGAAATCACATAAAAAGATTGACTGTTATAATGATATCAGGCATGTATGGCATGAAAAAAAGGAGCCTTGAACTTGTTACATATTACAGTTATTTGGACTATCTATTATGTAAACTTTGGCATTATAAATACATGTGCTTATTCTTTTGTTTTAGTTACACACAGCAGAGTTGAAAGATGGATATGATTGGGGACGTTTAAACCTTCAGTCAGTAACGGAACAAAATAATCTGGATGATTTCCTGGCAACTGCTGAACTTGCAGGCACAGAGTTTACTGCAGGTATTTGTCCGTAAAAGTTCGATCATCTCTAATAGAACTTCTAGGAAGACCTGAATTACTGTATGGAGTGACTGTGAGGCTTGTGTTGACATATGTGCTATTAGTTGATAAACTTCATGTGAGGAAGCTATCCAGCTAGCTTACAGAATTTTGATCATTCTACTCAGGTGCTCATTCGTGCCTGAAATGATGCATGGCAGGGGCCGGGCACTTCAGGTCTTCCCCATTAAAACTGGAACATCGCTAAATGACCTGTATAAGTGTGACATTAAACCTAACAAAACAATTTAAACAAGTTAAACTCAGATTTCCTCTTTACTGTAACTTAGTTTCCCATTTTTATAACAAATTTTATTTTTTTGTTTGTTTGATTGGGTTTTACGTCACACTGACACAGTAATGTATAGGTCATATGGCGACATTCCAGCTTTACTGGTGAAGGAAGACCTCAAGTGCCATTCCATGCATTATTTCAGGCACAAACGGGCACCTGAGTAGAACTACCGACGTTCTGTAAACTAGCTGGATTGCTTCCTCACACAAAAGAATCCAAAGTCCCTGTCCGGATTCGAACCCACAGCGGTGAGGGGCAAGTGGTTTGAAGTCAACAACCATAACAACTCGGCCATGGACGCCCCTCTTTTTACCATATCCCTGAAGATATTAATGCATTGCTTCAACAACAAAACAGTACATTTTCCATGTTGCAAATGTGTTTAATATATAAATACAGTATCAGTCAAGTTAACTGCTGTGATTGTTGTTGAGCTAAATTCACTCTCAAATATGCAGGGTTGTCATTAACATTTTTTGCAGAAGGTTTGTTTTGAACTTGAGGCGGTCATTTCTGTCTTTATCATGCATAACAAAGAGTGTTTTCTTAATTTTGAGGCGACCCATAATGCATTTGAGACAGGCATTTTGGCCTCCTGCCGCCTCTTAATGACAACCCTGAATATGTTCATAATTTGCATTCAAATAAACAATATTAACATTCTAAATGCACAATTTATGTTTGTAAAACATTTTAATAGTGATTTTTTCAGATGATTTTGACATGGACAAATTATTAAATATTTTCAATGTCTCTTAATTTCTTACATTTAAGTCCTCAAACTTATATTGAGGCATGGTAACTGCAAGACAAAACAAAAAAATTATTTGTTTAAAGTATATATTTTTCTCTGTGTTTTGATATTCTTATTTTGATTGTTCTAACAAAATCAAGAGGTATTATTGTCACATTTCAGAAAAATTAAATGTAAAGTTCATATCTCAAGATACTGGTTCCCTTCCACAAGCTGATGAATTAAGAGCAATCAAAGGTCTTCATAAAAAACATGAGAACCAGCTGAGAATTCCTAGAAGGTAGGTAAAATGTTCTCTTAGAATGCACCAGGGACTATCATAGACTGAAAATTGCGGAAGGAGTGACCTCCCTTGAGAACACAGTTTCATAGAATGAATATTATACCTTATTTAGTCAAGATGATGTAGCATTTAGAATGTCTTTGATTTCTAAAAAGCATGAACGTAAACCCCTTTTAGTAGTACCACAGCAAATGACTTATTTATGATTGTACACTGATATAGGAATGAGAGTTTGACTTGCAAAAATTTGTGACTTGGTCTTGGTTATAAAGTTAATTGATCTCATTTCTAAATTTTATTGCAGTTTTATACAAGTCATTAATATGGTATTTAATAATTTGTAGGCCCCCATGGAGCACACAGATGACAGCCTCTGAAGTTGACCAGAATGAAAAAGTTGCTTTTCTAGATTGGAGAAGGGGTTTGGCAAGGTAATGTTTAAACATCTGTCTGGCTACATATCCCTTTACCACATATATACGCGAAACAACGCACTTTCGACCCCCCCCCCCTTTTTTGGCCTCAAATAGTGAAAAAAATGTCCTGTTTGGGCCCCAAACATAAGTTTTCGTTTGAGAAATGTTGCTAAAAAAATTGAGCACTTTTTCGGCGCCGCCCCCATCCAAAAGATACATCAGGGGTTGCCAGAAGGGGGATGTGCCCCCTTCTGTTAGGGGGTTTGAAAGGGGGCGGTGTCCCCCTCATCGCCAAGAAAATTTTGGACTTGTGAGAGGCTAAAAATGACCCCAGGTCGATCATAATGTAACGTTTAACCAACGCTGAAAAGCCTTTGACTCTATCTCAATCCCTTGAGCAGTTGCAGCACTTTGAAATAAATTTTGACGGAAAAAACTCGAGGCAAAATAGTGATTTTTGGCAATTTTGAGATGTCCCCTCGTTGCCATGGTAACAGAAAATTTAAGACTGAGCATGTCATTACAAAGGCAATGGTCCAGTCAACATTTGTGCCAAGTTTGATTAGTATTGAAGCATTTTTCATAGTTTCATAGCAGTTTGAACTTGTAACAGGAGGCTTTTCAGTGAAAACGGCCATTTTTCACAATATGCTCATGGGGGAAAGGGATATAAGTTAAAATCTAGAAAAATTTGGTTGGTTGGGTTTAAAATTTCATCTACACAGTAAGGTTATATGGCTTTATTCATGTTTTACTGGTGAGAAATGACCTTATTTGCCCCCTTGTATACTTGCTATTACTATTTTGTATAACCTCAATTTAATCCAGGAGAAACTGTGGCCTAACTAAGTTTTTCATTTATGTGAACTACAATACATAAGGAATGTTAGTCATTGATGTTAGAAGTTCAACACAGACTAAAAGTAAATAGTTCACTCAAAATTTAATGTTGATTCCTTTTAGTTATTAAGATGTATTGAACTAAGTTTTCTTGCATGTTTTATATTTGTACATTTAAATACCAACTTTACCTGTTTATTTTCTTAAATTGACTTGTCAAGCTTTAATTTTGGGAATTGTCCATTATCAATTTTGGGGATATCAGGATGAAAATTTAAAGTTAGTTAGCCAACAGTATAGAGCCTGGTCAGACTATACGTATATGCAGGCAAGCAAGCTCTATACTTGTGGCTAAGGCTTGTCACTTTTGGTTCCGGCAGGTTAAGAGTTAGTTATGAGCTTCTGTTAACATGTATTCTGTATTACAGTGTTCAAGAAGATGAGAGGATTGTAATGACCCCGTATGAGAAAAATCTGGACTTCTGGAGACAACTCTGGCGTGTCATAGAGAGAAGGTAAGTAATTACATCGTTAACTCCCTTTTGTTATGCATATAACTTGTGCAAAAGTATAAGTTACCTGTATTATCTCCCTTTAGTCAAATTAAAAAAAAAGAATGGAGACAACTATGGTGTGTCATAGAGAGAAGGTTAGTAACTACAATGTTATCTCCCTTTTGCTATGCATATAACTTAGTGCAAATGTATAAGTTATCTGTATTATCTCCCTTTAGTTGAATTCATTTTTTGACTTAAAACATTCTTATTGAAAAAAATTCAAAAAGTGAATACAGATTATAATCCTTAATTGATGAAATGTTTTTTTTTGCTTGGAATAATGTTTGATTTCTTAATGAATATCTATCAGTGACTAATTTATGAATGGTTGATAAACTGCAATAACAAATTTGGGAATAAATATTTTTTCAGTGACATAGTGGTTCAGATAGTAGATGCTAGGAATCCGCTGCTATTCTACTGCGCAGATCTTGAGGCCTATGTGAAAGAGGTTGAAGACAGCAAAATTTGTCTGGTTCTTATTAATAAGGCAGATTACCTGAATAAAGAACAGAGGTAAAGCATAAATCTTTACCATGCTATATTCGAATAATAGATTAAGATATGCCCTGCTGTCTATATCTGAGATATTGACAACTAGTTGGCTTAGATAGAAATCAATAAAAATGGTACCAATATTTTGTCCATATTTTCTGTTGATATATAGTCAATACACATTTGAAAAAAAAAAAGAAGATAATCATGACAAATTGATAAAATGTCAGTTCAGTTCTGAAAATTCACCCAAAATAGCAGGTTGTTCATGTGGACATTTTTCATAGCTGTGATAACAAAAAATGGTGGGAGGAAAAAAATCATGTAATGGGCATTTATAAACAAGACACATCATAGTATGAACAGAACATGTATTCTACCAAAATCATTTTTAACAGATATGGAGTAAAATATAGACAAGAAATTGTAAGTAATAATAGAAATATCTATCTATTGATATTTGTCATCCGATATCGATATATCATCAATATGCTTTGCACTGAATTAATGACAGACCTTACTCAGCTATTTTCATAAAACTTCAGATAAAGATTTTAAGTTGTCCTATTGTCTTGTTAATGATAATCAAGTAACCCAAATTAACTATTCACCTTGAATCAAAATTACTGAAAAATAGTTTGCATTAATTGAATAACTTCTATGAAAGTAAGGTATTTTGTTTTGATTATTTATTAGGGAGATTTGGGCAGATTACTTCACAAAGAAAGGTATTAGGATTGCCTTCTGGTCAGCTGTAGAGGAAACTGAGAGGCAAGAAAAGGAGGGAAAAATTGAAAAGGAGGCTGAGGATGGAGTTGACCCTGACCTTGTTGAAGGTGACAGTTCAGATGGAGATAGTCAGTTTGAGGATGAAAGTGATGATGATAATGATGATGATGAAGAAATAAATGAGGGTAATGGAGTAGGAGGGGGAAACGTTCAAGAAGTGCCTTGTGAAACAGACAGAAGTAGTGAAGGTACTAATGTAAGAAATGACATCCTTGCTTCTGATGTCAGAAGCAAACTGGAAAGAAACACAGAATATGATGTGGATGATATAAGAGATGACATGGTAAAAGACAATTTTGAAAACCAAGAAAATGGTGAGAAAACCGAAAACCAAATGGATAATTTATGTAAAAACGAAAGAAATGACAAATCTGATGATATAGACGGGTCAAAAGATTTGGACAAAGTGAATGTTGATAAATCTGACAGTGAATCCTGCACCTGTGATAAAACAGAAAGACTTGCTGACTCTGAGGGTACACATGGTGAACACGTATGTAGTGCTTACAGTGAACTAAAGAAACCTATGGCATATGTGAATACATCACTGATACACACAGGGCCAGAGTTACTGGAGTTGTTTAAAAGTATTCACTTGACGAAAAAAGTTCATGAAGGGCTTACAACAGTAGGAATGGTTAGTATTTATTATGGCTACATATGTTAAAGATTTTATAAAGAAATTATATGATAGCAAGGGTGTGGAAATCCTATGCTCAACCGAAGTTCAGACTTAATTAAAGGATGATTGATAGTTTGGAAATGATTCCTTGTGTTATAAAATTTATATATTTTTCCTTAAACTGCAGAAATGATTAAGTCTGGACCGTCCTTACATAGGGAAATCTGTTACCAGTTGTTAAAACATGCTGTCAGTGACAATGTTTCATACATGTTTTTGGGTAAAAAAAAATGGGCAAGTGGCAGAAATTTATATTTTCGCTTATAGTATTGTTTTTAAATAATTAGTAATCTGTTATAGCAAATATTTGAATACTATATAAGGTTTTTTTTATACCCCCACAAACGAAGTTTAGGGGGGGTATATAGGAGTCAGCTTGTCGGTCGGTCGGTCGGTCGGTCCGTCCGTCCGTCGGTCGGTCGGTCCACATCATGGTTTCCGGACGATGACTAGAGTTTGGAATGAGGTATTGTAATCAAACTTGGAATATAGCAACCTTATGTGGAAACTCCGGTTGGTATTGCATTTGGACCCCCTGGGGTCAAGGTCAAGGTCACCGTTACTAAAAATAGAAAAATGGTTTCCGGACAATAACTAGAGTTAGGAATGAGATATTGTTATCAAACTTTGCGTATAGCAAGCTTATATGAAGACCTGGGTTGGTATTGCATTTAGGCCCCCTGGGGTCAAGGTCAAGGTCATGGTTACTAAAAATAGAAAAATGGTTTCCGGACAATAACTTGAGTTAGGAATGAGATATTGTAATCAAACTTGGTGTATAGCAAGCTTATATGAAGACCTGGGTTGGTATTGTATTTGGACCCCCTGGGGTCAAGGTCAAGATCACCGTTACTAAAAATAGAAAAATGGTTTCTGGACAATAACTAGAGTTAGAAATGAGATATTGTTATCAAACTTGGTGTATAGCAAGCTTATATGAAGACCTGGGTTGGTATTGCATTTGGACCCCCTGGGGTCAAGGTCAAGGTCACCGTTACTAAAAATAGAAAAATGGTTTCCGGACAATAACTTGAGTTAGGAATGAGATATTGTAATCAAACTTGGTGTATAGCAAGCTTATATGAAGACCTGGGTTGGTATTGTTTTTAGACCCCCTGGGTTCAAGGTCAAGGTCACCGTTACTAAAAATAGAAAAATGGTTTCCGGACAATAACTAGAGTTAGGAATGAGATATTGTTATCAAACTTTGCGTATAGCAAGCTTATATGAAGACCTGGGTTGGTATTGCATTTAGGCCCCCTGGGGTCAAGGTCAAGGTCATGGTTACTAAAAATAGAAAAATGGTTTCCGGACAATAACTTGAGTTAGGAATGAGATATTGTAATCAAACTTGGTGTTATAGCAAGCTTATATGAAGACCTGGGTTGGTATTGTTTTTGGACCCCCTGGGTTCAAGGTCAACGTCACCGTTACTAAAAATAGAAAAATGGTTTCCGGACAATAACTAGAGTTAGGAATGAGATATTGTTATCAAACTTGGTGTATAGCAAGCTTATATGAAGACCTGGGTTGGTATTGCATTTGGACCCCCTGGGGTCAAGGTCAAGGTCACCATTCCTAAAAATAGAAAAATGGTTTCCGGACAATAACTAGAGTTAGGAATGAGATATTGTAATCAAACTTTGTGAAAAGCAAGCTTATTTGGAGACCCCAGTTGGGATTACAATTAATGTACACAGTTGATAGTTTGTGTTGAAATTTTTCTTCAGACTACTTATTTTTCAAAAAGTTGCGGGTGGGGGTATTAATCACCTTCAGTGATAGGTCTAGTTTACATGAGAAATTAATCATGAAATCCTCTATGACTTGATTTTCAAAGGGAAAATTTGGTTAGAATATTGGTGAATATATGTCTGAGGGTGACAAAAGTTCTGATTATATTTTGAAATCCTTGAGAAATGTTGAGCTCAGAAGAATATTCCCTAATTTATAGTATATTTTTGATACAAATACGATACAAGACTCTCACAAATTGACTGCTCCATTTCAGTTTAACCATTTTGATATAAATCATATAAATCACATAAATTTATGTATATGCATAATTATACAATGTATAATAATTGAAATACCAAAATTAATTAATGTTTAAAACAGAATGGTCATTACCAACATTTCAGCAGGATTTTGATTATGAAGCCATTAGTGTGATAATGATGAACATATTTGAGATGAATATTTTAGGTTGGGTATCCAAATGTAGGGAAGAGTTCAACCATTAATGCAATACTTAAGATGAAGAAAGTGCCTGTGTCTGCTACCCCTGGGCGTACAAAACATTTTCAGGTAAGTTTCTGTGTTACATGTTTACAGTACCAACTTCCTTTTGGAGCCTAAGACTTAAGTTGTTGTTTGGAGGCGTCCCTCTCGAGAAACAAACAAATTTATTGTGAATAAAGTCTCTTTCATTTAAATTTTTCCAAGAGAAATATTTTCATTTGATTTATGCGAATTTATGGAACAGTATGAATGTGTTGGCAGTTATAACACTTTTAAATCAATTCCTTGAACCAATCAGTACTAAGCAATGAGTGTAAAGTTTCAACATCTTTCCACTTATGGGGATCAAACCCACACGGCAAGTGATCCTTAGATTACTAGACTGCTGCGTTTCCCATTTAACCATGCTGCCACAGAATATTTTGTTTGTCTAGTTTAAACATTTTGATTTACTGGTATTTGCCAGATTTTTTTTGATTTTTTTTTTTAATAATAGTTACATGTATGTTCAAGTTTAAAGTAATCTGTGAACAAATTTTGTTTCCAGACATTGTATGTAGATCCTACACTGATGTTATGCGACTGTCCCGGCCTCGTGTTTCCATCATTCGTAACGACAAAAGCCGACCTGGTTCTTGGAGGTATATTACCTATAGATCAGATGAGGGACTCCGTCTCACCAACGGCACTTGTATCCTTTTTCTTGAAAAATCTTACCTTGGTATACTGTGATTTTGAGCTTGTATGTTTCGAAGAAAAAAAATCGAGCTAGTATGATTGCTGCTTGGTCATAGTTGTTGTTGTCATGTAAAAACTTTAATGTAGCCCCATTATTCAAACATTTTAAAAGTTATCAACATGAAACTTGATGTACTTGCTTATCATGACAAGGTGTACAAGTAAGGCAAGGAGGCATCATTCTGAAAGCTATGTTTTTGGAGTTATGCCACTTTTTATCTTAGATTTTTTAACAGATGCTTGTAAACATTACATGCAGTGCTCCAATCTCCATGCAGTGATCTCCCCTTAATTCTTCGGTGTAGATCTCTGCCACCAAGGTCCGATATATCAGAATTTCTGATATACTGTATTTTTTTCAAAAATTGTTTTATCTACTGCTTTTATCTATCAGATAAGTTTTTTCTCATTTATTTAACAATGTTTATGAATAAATAATATGAATATTTAGAAATAATTTTGAAAAAATATGAGAATATTTTCTACCGAGACAATATTTTAATATTTTATATTTTCTAGCTTTTGAATTTATTTTTCATTATTTTGTATACTTTTGATAATTTTTTGATAAACTATATCGAACGAAGGCACTAAAAGTTAAAAGTAAAACAGAAGGAGAAAATGACGTTAGATTTTCTATGTAACGGTCGATATTTACATTTGAATTTGACGTTACGTCATGTGACTTTTATCATCATGTGATGTCTGTGAAGGCAGTGATTACAATCCTGCCAAGGGAGGTAATCACTGTGAGGAGTTTGGCAATGCTCTAGTTTTTTTTTCAACCTTTAACCTTATGAATTTTTCAAATGGACTTTTTCCAATTTTTGAACTGTCCATTATCAGTTTTAGGGAAATAAAGAGGAAGAATTTAAAGTTATACAGCCAACAGTGTAGAATCTGATGAGACTGCATGGATATAAAGGCAAGTCTACTATACTGGTGGCAAAGGTTAATCACTTTTGGTTTAAGAAGACTAAGGGTTATAGGGTTGATAAATTGTAACGATTAACTGTTCAGCTAAGCTGCTTCCAGCCTGCCCATATTTGGGTAAAATACTTGACATTACATTTCGGAAAAAAAGTCACAAATTTAATAGACTAACAAATATTTAATTTGAAGTTGCACCATTATGATTGTTCCTTGACAAGTCTACCAGTTATGTCAGAATATTCCACGCTGGTTATTGGAAAAAACTTATGGAATCATTCTCCCAAGACCGTTGGAAGGTGAAGATCCAAATCGACCGCCCACAGCTTATGAGTTGCTCAATACTTACGGAGGTAATTCTTACTCTGAATCATGGAATGTACATTTTTGTATTTTGATAACAGATTTAACCCTTATTAATTGATAAAAGGTTCTGAGACCAAATTTTGTTATTAGCTCTGCTATTGGAAGAATAGGAAGAGATACTGTACTCACCTAGGTCAGCGTGACACTCTGGTTTAGATTTTGCCTGCAAGTTGGTATCTTTAAAACTACTGAATGGAATAGGTTGAATTGTCACACACTTATTTGGAACATAATAGGAGGTCTCTATCCAAGGCCCATTACTCTTAAATGGATTTTGACAGAATTATTGCCTTTTTTGACTTTTGAAAATTTTACATTATCCTGGCTCTCGCTTTACTGAGCACGGAGAATAGTCGAACACATGGTCCTTAACGACAGCTCTTGTTTTTATAGAAATATTAATATCTTAATTAGTATGTAAGTGTTTCTTATATAATAAGAAAAATATCTAGAGAAAACTGTTGCTTGATTTCAGTGAAATTTTACAAGAATGAGTTTAATAATAAAAAAATATACAATGTATTTGCTTATTTTAACTGAGCAATTTTGAAGGTTTAGTCATTATTGTTGAGCCTGATAACAGCTATCTGGACATAATTGTCACAAGGGTCATTTAATGTACATGTATATGCTTGCATTGATGTTTTAGTTTGTTTGTGTATATAGCCCATCTTGTATCTTGTGTATATAGCCCATCTTGTGTATGTAGCCCATCTTGTGTATCATCTTGTGTATATAGCCAATCTTGTGTATATAGCCCAGCTTTTGTATATAGCCCATCTTATGTATATAGCCCATCTTGTGTATAAAGCCCATCTTGTGTATCATCTTGTGTATATTATATACTATATAGCCCATCTTGCGTATATAGCCCATCTTGTGTATATAGTCCATCTTGTGTATCAACTTGTGTATATAGCCCATCTTGTGTATATAGCCCATCTTGTGTATATAGCCCAGCTTGTGTATATAGCCCATCTTGTTTGAACTGTAACTTTACCATTGATTTTGGGATACTCCAGAGAAAACTTGTCAAAATTAAAAGCCTCAGTGGGATGTTGTGCTATTGAGCTAGACCAAGAATGGTAAAGGAGCATTAAATGTCAGTTGATTTGACAGATTTTGTTTCATGTAAGATTATGAAGTTATTAGTGATATATTATTTCTTTGCATTTGAGAACATGTTTTGACTTGTTTATTTCAGCCATGCGAGGTTACATGACAAATCGAGGGCTTCCAGATGGGCCAAGATCTTCAAGATACCTGCTGAAAGACTATGTTAATGTGAGTACATAGTATCCTTTCATTTTCAAGAACAAGTCAAAAATTTAACAACTTAGTATTCTTAATAATATATATTATCATTTGAATGCAAGTATTGATGATAACTAGCATAGGCAGCAAGTACTTAGTCGGACAGCCAGCCTGCATATCATAATGATCAGATAAGACCAAATTTAAGAGCTGCTCAAGTGTAGTACTTTGATATTTGAATTCCTAAAAATATTAATAATAATAACGTTTTAATAAGATTTCGATAGCTGACATGGTGAAATACAGACAGATGTGTCACATTTTTAATCTGAAGGTTATTTTACGGACAAAATACGAACATTTTGAACTTATTTAAATCTTAAAATTCCAAAAGTTTTTGCAAAGGCTATTGAATGTGGACTGCTAGTTAATTCCAGGCAAATAAAAGTTGTAATTTAATTATAAATTTTTTTTCACAGTGTTCATATAAATTTTGTTAGCTGAAAACCTTCAGGAAATGTCAACTGTTTGTTGTTGTCATGAACTTCAGAGTTTCTGGAAGTTATGCTAATGTACAAAAAATCATTCAAAACAAGATGATAATTTCATGTGATGTCATCATTTTCAGGGTAAGCTGCTGTATTGTCAACCTCCACCAGATTTAGATCCTGTTGAATTCAATGACTTTAACAGCCGGGATCCAGCTAGCTTAAATGCTGCAGCAGGAGGTGTAGCTGCCGGGAACCAAATTGGTCAGCCATTAGTGGTTCCAAGTAAAGTGGATGCAGAGTTCTTTAAAAAGGTAATTTTACAGCTTAATTGTATAGACTATTTGTAGCTTGATTATTCGAAGAATAGTTTTTAGCTCGATTATTAAATAGGGAGAGCTATTGTACTCTCCCGGATGTCCTACTAACAACTCTTGTATATATTGTATATGTTCATAAGCATATCAGGTTTCAAAATATACATAAAGAAAAGGTATATTGTAGCAGTTAATTGTCTGTGCTAGAAAGTTATGAAGTTATATAAGGCTATCTGTAATCTTCTGTTTGATGATGTTGTTTGTTTCTTGATACAATGCATACCAAAGTACTTAAATTGAATGAAAGATGGTTTTAAATTTCTGTTTTAAGTTTTTCGGAAAACCATCACCACTAAAATAACAGATAAATGTTTTGTCAAGGAAGGTTTTATTCAAATTTTTTGTCATGTCTTTTTGCTTGAGGTACAACAAATGTTATATTTTATCGTGTGTTTTTAAACATTTCAGGAATTCTCAACAGTTCACACACGTTCAGCACATGGAGGGAAAGGAGCGCAAGAAAGATCCGACTCAAAAGACAGTGTACAATCTTCACAATCATCTCTTAACGAAAAACCCTGGAAGAAACATAACAATAGAAAGAAGAAGGAAAAACTAAGACGAGTTTATGGCCATCTTGATAATTAAAGTTTTTATGTGGATGGTTTAAATGAACTAGAAATATTTAAATGTAATCAATGAAGGCATTTAAGGAAAAAAATAACAAAAGAATAGTGAAGCTGAGTTCTAACATTTGCACTATGAAAAAACGTTATAGGTGATGAAACTGAAATGTATATTGAATATATAAAGATAATAAACAGGTTGTTGAAATGACGTATGTTTGAAATATATTTATGAAATTAAATGGTTGTTATAGTTTCTCAATTTACCTGATTGGACATCAAAATAGATTTAATAAGTGGTGATAGCCAACTCAACGATTTTGTCTGTCTGATATGTGTATAAATGCCTAGTATAGATCAAACAATAACTGCAGAACTATTTTGTCTACAAACCTCTGCTTTTATGGGGAGGAGCCTCAGGTTGGACATAACCTTGAGATGACCCCTATCGAATTTAAGGTCAGTAGGTCAAAGTTTATCCAATTAATAACTAGAAAACATTTTGCTAACAGCCCTCAGCATTGGCGGGCGAGGGCGGGATTGGTCATTACCTAGACAGTAAGATATATTTCAGAAGATCACAGTCCAAGGTCACTTACATGTACAGTTCTGTGACTTGATATCCTCTCATGAATTTTAGGTCAAAGGTATTGACAATGGCCAGAAAAACGTTTGTTAATGTCGTCAGATTCGATGGGGAGGTTAGACTTGCATTTTGACCTGTATTAATTTTGAGGTTACGATTATTAAAGTTACCTAAAACAGTAGTTGGTAGATCAATCCTGATGTGTTTAAAGTCAGTAGGTCAAGGTCATGGTTTGATAATGTGATTGGTAACGTGATTACTTGGTTATTACTAAACAAGAATGCTAACTTTGAAATAAGCAGAGATAAAGTGCAAGTTCACTAGCGCAAATGATAAAGTTTTGTAGTGCAAGTCGTCGTTTTATGCTCCACTGGTCACAGATGTAGCCCATTTTCATAATGGAATTTGTAAAGATAAAAACGTTTGACAAAGTACACACATTTGTAGAAATTTACATGGAAAGGATCAGCTTTGATAATACTCATTTGATCAAAGACTAGGAAAACGCTTAAGAAAGTTGCCGTTACGTTACGGCGTTTCGATATGGAAAAAAAATAGTTGACAAGTTTGTATATCTACGTCTATAACTGATTTGAATACAACAGACTTGCAAAATCAAAATTTATTTCAATATAAGATAGATACTCATTTATTATCTTTTTTTTTGTAATTTGACAATAATTACAAAATTATATATAGATCTACATAATAATAATAATAATAATAACTACGGCCCTACGTGCATATAAGTCTCACCTTGCTCACTGATTTTTTATTTAAAATCATAAAAATGCAAAAGTCGCAAAAAAGCGGGAAACATTAACAAACTTGTTACATATAAAAACACATACACACACACACACACACACACACACACACAGAACCACATAACATAATGGAAAACGGCTACTGATTGAGATTTTCAAACCCCCAAACAGAAGGGGGCACATATTCTCTTCTGGCAACCCCTGATGTATCTTTTGGATGGGGAGCGGCGCCGAAAAAGTGCTCACTTTTTTTAGCAACATTTCTCAAACAAAAACATGTGTTTAGGGCCCAAAAAGGACATTTTTTCACTATTTCAGGCCTAAAAAAAAAGGGGGGGGGGGTCGAAAGTGCGTTGTTTCGCGTATATATGAGGTAAAGGGTTAACATAACCCTCTATTTTAAACAATTGGTCCAGTCGACACACGATAATTTAATAAATATGAGTCAAGCTACTATCGTTTAAATATGGCAGCAAAGTCATGTTACTTTTTAAAAGTCGTGACTTAATTATTTAGCAAAATATTTAAAATTATTCACGCATGTTCTTCCTTCAGTGCATTTTGAGATCATTTCAAAGCGTATTTTATATGCCATAGTTTAAATCTCTAAGACTTAAAAAAAATGCTGTCGAAAATGTGTTCTTTATAAATTTACAAAGAATTTATTTGTCCGTTTATTAGCTAAATAGCCGCGTCACGACAAAACCAACATAATGGCTTTGCGACCAGCATGGATCCAAACCAGCCTGCACATCCGCGCAGTCCGATCAGGATCCATGCTGTTCGCTATCAGTTTCTCTACTTGTTATAGGGTTTGTAAGCGAACAGCATGGATCCTGATCAGACTGCGCGGTCTGGATCCATGCTGGTCGTAAACACATTATGTTGGTTTTGTCGTGACGCGGCTCAATTATTATTTTATATATGTGCGTCCAGAAGCAGGAAAGGGAAAAAAGATGCAAATTAAAAACAAAAACTGAATAAATATCTACCACGAAATTTTCTTTCAAATTACAAAAGGTGTCGGTGTTAATGGAACGAGCCGCTTTGGGACGATTCCAAAATTCGTACTCTTCAATTTGGAGGTTATTAGTATTCTTCAATTTGGAGGATCCCGCCATAACGTCAGAAGAAAGAAGAAATCGAAACACGCATGTTAAAACATTTAGTTGAGAGTTTACAGAGCTTTTAACTAAAGAAAATTAAGAGGTTACGGTATCATTTCTTTTACAACCGCTGATATTTTAAATCAAAGCATTGCATAATAATATATTTGCATATTTGTCTGGCACATCATGCGCTGACGTCACTCGACTCACTGACTACGCAATCTCCTGTGCTCTATCTCAATTCATTGTGAAGTTGCAGCACTTTGAAATGAGATTTTATGGGGAAAAAACAATGCACACTAGTGATTTTTGGCAATTTTGAGACGTCCCCCCGTTGCCATGGTAACAGGAAATTTACGATTGAGCTAGTCCTATAACATAAGACGTTTCCGTTAGGTAAAGGGTCAACTCGGCCCTTAGTCCAATATATTAGACGTTACAGGCTTGTTATAGTTTTATGTTGGTCAAGCCTGACGTCTAATAGATCTAGTTATTGCTCATAAACGCGTAGCATTTTGAAAAATTAAAAAGATGTCTGTTGACTTGCCTTTCAAGCTTTATTCAAAAGCTTATCTTCTGTTCTTTCAAATGCATGGTCTATCATTAACAAAAACTTTCAAACAATGTACTTATCAATTAAAAATTAAATATAAATATCAATCTATTTCGCTCATCCGCCATGCTGGTTAAGTAAAGCGTTTTACAGATTGATTTCAATTTTTTTTGAACGGAAAAATATATTCGAACACACTGACTGTGCATGGGCTAAGTACGTTTTAGGGCCGAGCTGACCCTGATTCTTCAGTTAGTACTCCAATGTCTTATCGACTTCTTCACAAGTTCCTTTATCAAAACGCGCAGCGATTTTGAAGCGCTATATAAACCGTCTTAGTTTACTACAAAAACAATATTTTGAGTCAAAAGATATGCAGACAGTAAATTTAAACATTTTTTGCATCAATGTGCAGGAAAAAAAATAAATGACTCACCTTCGAATGTAAATAAATCCAATCCAATACAATTTATACCACTTTCACCGCTATATACATTCGGCCATATTACCTGTATACATGTGGGCGCGTTTTGCTAAAGGAACTTGTGAAGAGGTCGGTAAGACGTTGGAGTGTTTGTAGTACCAACGGAAACGTCTTATGTTATAGGACTATGATTGAGCATGCTGTTACAGAGGCTATGGTCTAGTCAACATTTGTGCCAAGTTTCATCAGTATTGAAACATTTTTCATAGTTTCATAGCAGTTTGAACTTTGTAACAGGAGGCTTTTCAATGAAAACGGCCTTTTTTCACAATATGCACATGGGGTAAAAGGTTAAACAGTTCAAGTTGGCATCCATGTTAATCTGAAAACTTTCTTTCAGACAAATTAAAAAAAAATCACATAAATTTACCATCAAGCCTCAATAAGGAGTTTGCGGTAAATTTTGCAGACCCGGAAACAATTTCCTTATACAACCAATCCAAGAAGAGTACCTAAATTTATCTGTTTATAATAATTGGTTTTGCTAGGTTGGAATGCACGCTAGTAGCTACACACCTGGCTTGAGAAATATAGTGCTGTGATTCGAACTCTGGTGAAATTAAACCCGTCCCCAAGTAAACTCGGCCCAAGTCAACCTGGTCCCCAATTAGTCAACCCAACCCCAAGAAAATCTAATGTCTTCATTAAAGTAAATAATATAATCCTAATTTTTTGCTATAAACAAGAAAAATACTGGCATTTTTTTGTAATATTGCACAGGAAATTAAGATTCATTTACTTTGGCAAACTATGTAGGGTTGACAATGACTACCCTTACAAGTTATATTAATATAATATGAAAAATTTCCACTCAAAACATTTTGGGTCGAGGCATATCTTGCAAATTTTTAATGGTGGCTTATTATATGAGCCGCGTCACGACAAAACCAACACAATGGGTTTGCGACCAGCATGGATCCAGACCAGCCTGCGCATCCGTGCAGTCTGATCAGGATCCATGCTGTTCGCTATCAGTTTCTCTACTTGTTATAGGGTCTGTAAGCGAACAGCATGGATCCTGATCAGACTGCGCGGAAGCGCAGGCTGGTCTGGATCCATGCTGGTCGCAAACCCATTATGTTGGTTTTGTCGTGACGCGGCTCATATGTTTTTTGTTTTATTTAGATTAATACAGTATGGCAGCTGCACATCCAGGCCAGTATAGAGGACCATGTAGACGAGGTATATTTGCACTGTCAAGTTGGAAAGTGCCACTGAAACGTCCAGAGAGTTTGAGGGAAGTAAAAGCAGGTATAATTGTTAATATGCATTAGGGCAATTTTACTGTATAACCAGGGCCAGTGAAGAATAACATTTTTTTTTCTGGTTGGTACCTTAAAATTTTGAATAGCAAATATTGTTTTTTATGCTACCACTAATTAGGGGGCTTGTGTTTGTCTATCCTTCCATCTTTCCTTCCATAGGCTGACAAAACAGTTGAATGTGGGGGCATCTATGTCCTAGGGACACATTTATAGTTTTAAGTGCTTTCTTTGAACTCTAGTTATGTAATCTTTGTAGGGATTTCTCCAAATGTAAATATAATCAGTTCAATGAAAACAAACGCTTTTCTTTAGCTTTTAATGTTTAGTCTTCTTCAGGTAAATCATTTTTAATGAAACACAATGTTATACATCTATTACTGTTTTAGAGGTGAGAGATTGGAAACCCAGCCAGAAGCTAATGATGAAGTATAAGTACGATGGGAATGCAGCTAGTCCTCTTGGCAAGGAGTTGAGTGTGAAACAAAAGGATGTGGTCGAGTTTGTGAGACGACATGATGAACATTGGATCAAGGTCAGAAATGAACAAGGGGAGGAAGGCTTTGTTCCAGATAGTTACGTTACGGTAAGAGGAGAAATATTTTGTGTTTTCTGAAGAAGAAAAAGAAAAGGGAAGAATTGTAAAAGATTTTGTATATTTATGTTGTAACGCTTTGGTTTATGTAGTAAACACCTGATTGTTTTTAAAGATTACAGAAATGTACAACAGAAGATGGATACTTCTTTGTCAATTTTTATTATTTATATGTAAAGAATATATAAAAACCATGAAGCTAGATGTACATTGAGAGGAAGCTGTGATGTCATACAGTTAAGTAAAAAGTAAAAATCTGTAAATGCAATTACATTTACATGCAAGTTAACGTTCTTTGTGAGATTCTGGGAAACTGAGATTGATAAACCAAATATTTATGATAAATGTGTTTTGTCCCATATAAATTCTGCATATTGACTTGTTCATTTCTGACATTTCTGTGAATAAGTAAAATGTCTTTGGTGAAACTGAATAAATTCTGTGCATTCTGAATATCATTTATTTTAGCAGTTTTTGAAATCTATTGGTTTTCTAGAGCTTATTACAATACCAATTTGACTGAGTGTTTGTTTGGTTAAGTATATCATTTGTATTTTCTGATTTTACGAGAAAGTGTGCAAGCAAACACTTGACATTGGCTCCAGTAGGTTCAGGGCTGGGTCACAAATATTTTTATCCTTTACCCTAATGTCACTTTATAATTCATTATATATATTAATGTAGGTCCAACTAGATGCTGTGAGTAGTTTACCATGGTTGGATCAGAAGAACTTGGAGGAGAAAGTTAAACAGGAATCAGGTTAGTGGTGTCAGAAACTTTTCATCATTTGTATATCGGGCAGTATCTGACTAAATGTTAGCAGTTTAAAATCTTTACATCATTATGTATAGTAATTAGGTCTTTATCTTATTGTGGACAAAGTCCAAATTTATGAACTCACTTTTAGAATAATTTTGTTATAAAATGAGTTGCTATGAATGTTAAAATGTTATACAAAGGGAATTATATTTCAATTATCCGCAAATACATGTATTATAAATACAAATATATTTTCAGAACCGTATGTCTAAAAGTTAATTCTAACACCTGTCCAGAAATAATAAAAGTTCCCATTTTCTATCAAATCAAATGTTAAACAGTGTTTTCCATTTGCTTTTCCCAATCACGTTATTTCACTGGTGGGATTTGAACTCATACAAGTGATTGGAAGTCTGCTATCTTGACCACGCCACTGTGAAGGCTTTCTAAATATTAAACACTTGTTATTTTGTCAAAAACAGTAACTTTGGCAGAAAGTTTGGTTTATTTTATTGGTCATTCATTTTATGTTTCAGCCGAGTACAAACCTTACAAGTCGGCATATGCACCAAAGGCAAGCGAAAAAGAGGATAATACAGAAGATCTGAGCAATTATTACTGCAAAGTTTGTGATAGACAATTTAACGGACCAATCCCCTTTAATGCTCATAATAACAGTAAAGCACATAAGGAAGAAGTGGAGAATCAAGCTGAATATAATTAATGAAGTGTTTTTAAGCTATAGCCAACTGGAACCCCCAAAAGTGACTAGCCTTTCGCTAGGAGTATAGAGCAGGCGGGCTTAGGGTAGCTTAATTTCTGTATTTTGGTATTGAAATCCCTTTGATAAACATAGAATGGACTGGTCCAAATTCAAAGCTAGGGAAATCCATTACATAAATTCAGCAGGCTAGGAGTGTTGTCTTTCAGGGTTAAAGGTCAAGGGTCAAAGTGTAGAGTTTAGGGTTAATATTGTGTTATATTTGTAAGTTGTAGTTTGATATAACAGAATTCTAATTGTCATGGAATGAACAGGAACAAATTTGAGCCGCGTCACGACAAAACCAACGTAATGCGTATGCGACCAGCATGGATCCAGACCAGCCTGCGCATCCGCGCAGTCTTATGCTGTTCGCTTACAAACCCTATAACACGTAGAGAAACTGATAGTGAACAGTATGGAGCCTGATCAGACTGCTCGGATGCGCAGGCTGGTCCGGATCCATGCTGGTCGCAAACACATTATGTTGGTTTTGTCATGACGCGGCTCATGTGAAGTCCAACAACAACGATTGTGTGCGTTTGAAAATTTTGATGTCAGATTGTTTAGGGAAAGATGACTAAGGATTTGATTTATGAAGAAAATTTTCATGTATATGTTTGGGACCTTCATTTGGTTAAAATTCTTTATAATTCTCAAAATGTGTGAGATACATACCTAGAATTTATAAGTTTTATTGCAGATTAATTCATATTCTTGCCAATAACTTTGAAATAAAGGTCAGACTATGTGTATTATATGTAAATATATTTCCTTACATTGTTTTATATTTGATCTCATGGGATGTTATTTTTGTGAAGAATTTAATGTTATCTGAAGGTTGTTTATTGTTCCATTTGTAATGATTTCTGGTTAATAGTAATAAAATACGAAAGCATGGTTATATAAAAATATAATCTGTGACATGTAGTAGATTGATGATAAAACTAGATTGATAATATAATCATTGCAGCTTGGTTATAAAAGTGCTACAGTTTGGATATATAGTACTATAATACTGCATGTTTGTAATACTGCTTTTCATTGGATAATTGCAGTTTGGTTATACAGTATTATAGAACTGCAGATTTGTATCGTCGCTTTTCATTGGATAATTGTTGACATTTATATAAATTGTATACACAGCTGCTGTCAATTTATAAAATGATTTATTTTTTCTTTGATAAAGAAATATTTGTATTATTATTTGTTTATTAATTCCTTTTAAACATTCTTGACAGGTTGGTTGGCTGTATTTTATACAAATGGTTTGCAATATAACCCTGGCCTTACTTCTCAGGTTATATAATGCAAATGATAGTTTATCTGATTGATAATAAAGATTTTTGACAGGTTATATGACCTATCTAAACGGTTGTGTTAATATATAACCAAAGCTGTAGGGAATCAATGCAGATCCATTTAAACTATCATAATTATTCTATGCAAACAGACAAGAAATTCATTGAAAGGGCATCATAAATGCAACAATAAACGATGAAAGATAGTGACTGTGTTGTATTAACTTTTGTTGTAGTATTATTGTAGTTTAATGTTTTATTCATGTTGAAACTGTAGTTTGTTATTGCACCGGAAGTGCCTGTTCGGACAAGTCATTTACATTTGAATCAATGATGGGGAACAAATTATATACTAATTGGCCATTTTTGAGGTATTGCAAAATTTTCCAACTAACCTTTAGTTTGTTGTTTCACCCCTGTGTTCAGTCATGAATAAAAATCATAAATCATGTATATACATGTACATTCATATAAGTTGTTTCTTGGCAAGTTTATTCTTCAGAATATATGTATATTGTAGTTCATGCAAAAGGGGCGGGGCTGGGTGAGATGGGGGGTAAATAAATTTTTTCCATATTTATGCTTGAAGTCACAATTGATCAGTGTGAAGGGTGTTAGTAAGGCTCCCACGTTTACAATTTTTTGTAAACGTTTACATGATTGCTAAGAACCGAAACGATACCGTTTAAACGGTGGCACCTCTATGTACTATACACACCATGTATTTGAGTTGCCAAATGATGTCTTGATTTCTATTTTTAATACATGTACAAAAAAAGAATGTGCAGGGCTCATCACGATTGAGTCAGCACACGTTGTATCCCCATTTTTTACCAAAAATGTATTATGTCACGAGCAATTTTGCACGGTAATGCTGTGTGGAGGGTTGTAAACACCCATTTTTAGTTTTTGACTTTGGAATAAACCACAAGAATTGATAAAATCCATGATTTCAGGCAATTAAGATATTTTGTAAGACAATATGGTCATTTCGATTAAACGGTAAAAAATATCGTAAACGTTTATGAATGAAAATCGAAACGAATCCGTTTAAACGTGTAATAGTGGGGGCCTTAGTTAACACCCTCCTCTCCCCCTTCGAGCAATTAGTGCTGTATTAAAGATATACTATGCTCATCTTTAAGTAAAATATTTTAATGAAAGAAATTTGTTAAAACCTATGAAATCCTTACTTAATATGTCTAATTTGAAATAACTATGTATTGGACGTCGTATTCCCTTTTACAGGACAAGTAAAGTTGGTTTGTTCTTAAAAAACTGCTAGTTTTTTTAACGATATTATATATTCATATTGTGACCACCAGTAGTGTGTAGAGTTTTAAACATGAAATATCTAGTTTGTGTGAAATCAAAAGATGTTTATTTTATATTTACAAAGAGACTGTGAGCAATTACCAATATTTCCGGTTATCAAATTTGAGCAAAGTTTATCTTTAAATTGATAAACATATTTTGAACTGGGTCCAACTAGAAAATATTTTTATTACAAATTGCATTGCTGGATATAACTTAATACTTGAAGCAAAATAGTATGGTTGTACATAGTTTTGTTACATTGTTGTTGACTATTGATATTAAATATGAAATAGAAAAAACAAAAAAAGATTTATTTTCTTTTATTTCCTTACACATTTAATTCGGTAATAGTCAAGATATTGTATTATTGTTTGCAGATGCAATTCGACCAATCAGAAATTCTTACTTTCCGGCCATTTGAACAATTTAACCAAGCTTCCAGGGCCGCAAGATGACCACTTGCATTGTTCATTCTAAAGAAGCAAACTTTACTTTCCCGCCATTTGAACAATTTAACCAAGCTTCCAGAGCTGCAAATTGACCACTCGCATGGTTCATTTTAAAGAAGCAAACTTATTTTAGTTATTCTATCGCTAAACTACCGGTACATTGAAATGTTAAGTCACAAAAAGCAGCCATTAAAGGGCATTTCAGGATATTTTGATACTTTATCTGATGAAAGGAAGACCAATTCTATTCAGATGTTAGGTGGCTGAAGTACATGTATCATGGTATTGTTGAGATTGTATCATTACGATATAATTTACTCAATAAGCCCATAGAAATCCTTTCATTTCTATTTCTCAAAAGCTTATATACTTGTATTTCACATCCTGCCATTACTTACTCTATAGTGATTTAATATTTTGTATTTAAAGCAGCATGCCTCCAGATTTATGCTTATTTTCATTATAAAAAAAGAAAATGTGTTTAAAAAGTAAAATATTATGAAGGGAACAAAGGAAGTAATTTAAACATTGCGAAAGACACTTATAATACACACAAATGCAAAAATAGCCATTACTGTATTAGTCTCAAAGTAGAAATATGGTGATCGATACTGCAAAATAAGTCATTAATGGCATATAACATGTAATTTATTACTTGAATTTTTAGCTCACCTGTCACAAAGTGACAGGGTGAGCTTTTGTGATCGCTTTTCGTCCGGCGTCCGTCCGTCCGTTAACTTTTGCTTTAAATAACATCTCCTCATAAACCACTAAGCCAATTTCATCCAAACTTCACAGGAATGTTCCTTTGGTGGTCACCTTTAAAAATTGTTCAAAGAATTTAATTCCATGCAGAACTCTGGTTGCCATGGCAACCAAAAGAAAAAACTTAAATATCTTCTTTTAAAGAACCCAAAGAGCTAGAGCTTAGATATTTGGCATGAAACATTTTCTACTGAGTGTCTACCAAGTTTGTTCAAATAAAAGCCCTGGGGTCAAAATTGGCCCCGCCCCAGGGGGTCATTGATTTTCCCTATATGCATATAGTAAAAACTTAAAAAATCTTCTTCTAAAGAACCAAAAGAGCTAGAGCTAAGATATTTAGCATGAAACATCTTCTAATGATTGTCTACCAAGTTTGTTCAAATAAAAGCCCTGGGGTGAAAATTGGCCCCACCCCAGGGGTCATTGATTTTCCCTATATGCATATGGTAAAAACTTAAAAAACTTATTTTAAAGAACCCAAAGAGCTAGAGCTAAGATATTTAGCATGAAACATGTTCTAATGGGTGTCTACTAAGTTTGTTTAAATAAAAGCCCTGGGGTCAAAATTGGCCCCGCCCCGGGGGTCATTGATTTTCCTTAAGTGTGTATAGCAAAAACTTAAAAAAATCTTCTTTGAAAAAACCCAAATATCTAGAGTTTAGATATTAAGCATGAAACATCTTCTAGTGAGTGTCTACAAAGTTTGTTCAAATAAAAGCCCTGGGGTCAAAATTGGCCACGCTCCGGTGGTCATTGATTTTCCTAAATATGTGTATGACAAAAACTTAAAAATCTTCTTTGAAAAAAACCCAAATAGCTAGAGTTTAGATATTAAGCATGAAACATCTTTTAGTAAGTGTCTACAAAGTTTGTTCAAATAAAAGCCCTGGGGTCAAAACTGGCCCCGCCTCAGAGGTGTCATTGTTTTTAATTATATGTGTATAGTAAAAACTTAAAAAATCTTCTTTTAAAAAACCCAATGAGCTAGAGGTTAGATGTGTAGCATGAAACATCCTCTTGTGGGTATTTACCAAGTTTGTTCAAATAAAAGCCCTCAAGTTTAAACTGGCCCCGCTACGGGGGCCTATATACAGGTGAGCGACCTCAGGGCCATCATGGCCCTCTTGTTTTGCGTTTCTTTCATTATCTTAGTAAATTTCTCATTATTTTGGCTCATCTGGAGGTATACACCTGTAAGATGAAATTCCACTTTTGTTTAGTTTTGCTACTTGCATATAAACTGCTGTAAATCCATTATTTAAACAATAGGAGCTTCGGTGGCCGAGTGGTTAAGGTCCCTGACTTGAGATCACAGGTCCCTCACCGCTGTAGGTTCGATCCTCACTCGGGTCGAAATCTTTCATGTGAGGAAGCCATCCAGCTGGCTTACAGAAGGTTGGTGGTTCTACTCGTGCCTGAAATAATGCTTGAAGGGGCACCTGGGGTCTTCTTCCACCAATATAAGCTGGAAAAAAATCGACAAAAAAATCTCGGCAGGACGCTCTAGGATAGCCCGACTTGAATGTACAGTCGCCCATATGGGCTTTCCAGCGGCGACCTTAAATAAACACATTTAAAAAAAAATAAATTAATATTTAAACAATATAAAACATAGTTTGGGAATAATAATATACATATGCCCAAGCTTATTGATGTTTATGAGTGGGGGCGTGCCTGAGTGGTTAACACGTCAACGTCAGACTAGTAATCTAAGGATTGCCGACCGTGTAGGTTCAAACCCTATCAGGGGCAAGCTGTTGTTTCCTTGAGCAAGAAACTTTACATTCATTGCCTAGTACCGGTTGGTTCCAAGAACGGATTCGAGAGTGTTTCAATAAGCTTATAGCTTCCAACACAATTGAACTAAAATAAATTTGTATAAACTAATGATGTTTGAAAGGAGATTGAAAAAGTAAGAATCTCATATTGATGATGAGGTTACTCTGTTTAATAAAGACAATAACAACTTGTTTATGAAAACTAGATGCTTTATTCAATGACAAAAAATAACGTTGAACAAGGAAAACCATAATACCACATTGTGTGGCTGAAAGATAGAGAAACAAACACAAATATTTAGGAGGATGACGAGTGAGTGATTGGATGAAAGGATGTATTTTTAAAACACATGATTATAGCTGGGAAAGCAAACTTCATACACCATAAACGTACAGTTCCAAACAAAGCTATACAAAGTCATGACAAAAAAATGCACGAGGCTCTAAAGCAAGCATTTCTAAGGTCACCCTAAACCATTAACTTTCGGAATTTCTAACATGGACTTGACCAGCTACCATTTTGGACACTGTCTTTTATCAACTTTGGAGATGTCTAGCTAAAAATAAATTTATTAAACCAACAATTGTCCAGGTTCTGTTTTTGACTGCCCATTATTAGTTTTAGATATCCGTATTTTAAATTAAATCTTTAAACCGAGGGACAGAAACAACCAATTTTCACAAGAATTAAAAACGACTGTTTGAAAATAATGGGACGAATTTCAATTTGAGATTACTATAAGCATTTTAATATCAACAATGAAGTTTCAAGCTTGAATTTAAATATTGGCCCAATAATGTGTCGAGGAGCTTAAATATTGGACCCACACCTGAAAATTTCAATGAATATTTGCCTAATAGTTACGGTTCTAAGGCTGCATTTGTATTTTTTTTAACCCCTGCTGTATTTTTGTATCAGATTTTTTTGGAAATGCCGATTTGGTAATACATTGGTTTGTTGAAAGATTTCAAAATCAAAGTGGAAAATGAGCACAAAAAAGTATAAAACTTTGTTGAGATGGCATGGTTAAGCATACTAGCAGGGCTATATGATCTGTATTTGTAGTGGTTATTATTCAGGGATATTGAATCTTGATCCAATATATCAAGAGTTGCACAAAAATAGACCAATATTGGACCAATATCACAATGCATGCTGGAAAGTAATCATTATAAAAAAAAATGTTCCTATACTGTATAAATGGTTAAGTTAGCCATGCAGAAATATTGGCGAATTTCAAGAATTGATAAAAATAATTAAAATTTTCTCCAGCGTAAATATCAATCAACCTGTCATTAAATTCTACCCTTGCAGGATAACGCTAATATTTCCTTACACGAAATGTCGGAAATTTTAAATTCGCTAACTTTTAAAACTTTTCCACATGCAAAAGTATCCATTTATATAGTATTCTGTTACAATCATGTTAATGGGAAAAGACTAGAATGAAATGATGATAAAGACCAATTATTTGATTGTGAACAATACTGAAGACTAATGATAGAATTGGATGATTTAAAAATTTAACAAGATTATGATAGGGATAATAAGTACGTCAGATCAAATCAAACTATAACAATAACAAATGTGGATATATTAACTTAACAAGGTGCATCATCTACGCCAAAGAGGAAAGGCACAATCCCTATTTTATATATGAGCCGTGTCATGACAAAACCACCATAATGGGTTTGCGACCAGCATGGATCCAGTCTGATCAAGATCCATGCTGTTCGCTTACAAACCCTATAACAAGTAGAGATACTGATAGCGAACAGCATGGATCCTGATCAGACTGCACAGATGCGCAGGCTGGTCTGGATCCATGCTGGTCGCAAACCCACTATGTTGGTTTTGTCATGACGCGGCTCATATATACCATGAACACAGGAATACACAAATATTGCAATGATAATATTTGTAATAATAAGTCAAAGTAGCTAATTCTGCTGGAAAATTTGAAACACTAATAGTTTCCATTATTGTACCAAGGTGACAATATTTTTATGCAGAAAAATTTTAAAAAGGAAATGATTGTTTTGTTTTTTGTCAGTTTTTTATTCCGGAGTATGTTTTTTCTCTCCCCAAAAATGAACAAAAAGATAACCATTAAAGATCCTGTATGTTTTGTGATTGATATTGTTACTGTGTGTATACCACACTTGCAAAAAATTATAAATGTATATAATTATGCAAATAAAACAATTTTCCAACATCGAAGAATATGTAAAATGTGTACTGCAAATATTTGTGCACATTATATTTAATCAATAAATTACATGCATTCATTTCTTATTGGCAAATTTGACTTTGCTATTTTTCATACAAAATTTTTATAACTGGCAACAAAAAGATAAAAATTGTTCTGCCTTTTCTCCTTGGCCTAGTAAATATATATACTGCATTGTTTCATATTAATTGGAAACAATACAGTATAACTAATTAACAAATGAAAAATGTGCTGATAATTTAATGGCTAACTTCAAGAAGAAAATTTCAAACAAGTTTTATGTAATCAAATTTGTCCAAAAAAGTCACGAAACTCAGAAATTATATTTTTTATCAAAATGTTTTGGCACACAACAAATCATGAGATTCAACTAAATTAAACCCATTCGCCCTAAAAATTTGTATCACTGATTTGTTCTACTTAGAACTGACCAAATATTTTTATTTATAAAAAAATATTCATTTCAAATTGTTCTTTAAAAAAAAGTTTTAAGAATTCATAATCCTATTTTAACACAATCCAGTACAAATATTTACAAATGGCAAGAAATAATGAAACATATCTGGAATTAAAGCGTTTCACATGTACACTAAACAATATTAACTCATTGATGGATAGCGTCAAAGGTAAACTTACATGCCATGGCTACATACAGATGCTTTGTGAACAAACAATAACCATTTCAATGAATCTAGATTGGAAAAATAAGCTCTTGCAGACATATCATACATCACTATTATCACATAAACCGCGGCGCAGGAGTGTAATAAAGCCATTTAATAAAAACAATATTACACTAGTGTAATAACACTTTGACATGATGTCATTTGTGCTATATATAAACAAAGCGTTAAAGCGCGCTAATGTTGGCGTTACACTTTAGGCGCGTCATTGAAAAAAATACTCATTTTAACAGTTTACTGTTCTTATTTTATGTATGTGATAAATAGAATATTATATTTGTGTAGATTCAATACTAAATTTATTAAACTCGTTGAATAAAACAATATTATGCTTGCCAGAGGCTCGCATAATATGATTTTATTCAACTCGTTCAATAAATTTAGTATTCAACTACACATATTCAATATCCTCTATTTATTATATTATGCATCTAATGAAATCACTTATTGAATATCGTTACAATGAGGTCATTCTCAGAATATTGTTAGCAAAGTTATCACATGGCCACAATATCTTAAGCCATGAAAAAATTTCTCAATTAAATTTCCAATAGTATTCAACAAACAGCCACCTCACTTTAATTATCCCATAATTTCAAGTAACTACATGTATTCCCAATTCAAATTTGGAATTTGGTTAAACCTCAGATTTTTTTTTATATCAAAATACCAATTATTTTTCCCAAATCAAAATTTTACATATCACCAGTAACACAATTAACAGTACAATTACAAGAAAACCCCTATATTCTTTTTAAAGCAACTTATAAATTGTTGTTGATGAAAGAAAAATGAAATAAAATCACCTTGAACATGAATGGAAATGCAAAAGCTGACTTTACAATATAAATTTACACACTCATTTGCTTTCAAATAGTTTAAGCACTTGTGATTAATAATAAAAAACCCTCTAAAATGAAATAATATTTACCTATTTCTAAAGAAATTTCAAAGGAATTAATAAAATTCCAAATCGTCTTTGACTATCAAAAACACCAGTGTCAATATTGACTGTGGCTTCATTGAAATACAGAAATAAAAATAAGTTTCATCATAGCGCCTTTAAAAAAAATCTGTAACTTTTTCAACTTTTTATCATTGTAAACAGAGAAATATTTTTGCCTATATACATTGTTCTATGAGATTAAATCTCAAGACTTTTCATGTCTGTGTTGATTTTTTTTCTGTTACTCATAGATACTTTATTATCAAATCCAAGTATTTCTTAATGCATTTATTCCCTCATGATAATTTACCATAAGTTAAAAATCAATCCCTTGAAAAAAAATATAATGATTTCTTTGTAGTGTTCAAACAGCTGAACCCTGTTATAAGCATGATATGACAGTGTGTACCCATGACCTAAGATAAAGATTCCTTTTTTTAAAAAAATTTGTTTTATATACCCCTGTTCTTTTAATTAGAAGGTTATCATTACTTACTTAGAATTATGGATTTCTGAGGATTGGTGGGGGGGGGGGGGGGGTTGGAGGATTCTGTCCTTGCGCGCATGCGCAAAAATACTTACACTTGAGGCTTGTTAAAGGGTTTTCCACTAATACCACCTGTTTACAGATAAGTAGGCAATGTGATGAAAACTTGTTTAAATATCAGAATTTTGACCAATATTACTATATAAAATAATTTTATGGCTTTGATGCGTAAAATATCATGCGTTGGGGTAACGGTACCGGGTAATAGATACCCGCGTTTAGTCTACGCTCTATTTCCTGAATAACATCTATTTATCTTATTTTATGAAAAATAGGTCCGATATAATAAAATTGTATAATTATAATGGGTTAGATTTTATGTACGGGAACTACTTCTCTTCATACAAAATAATGGATAATTTCGGTACCCTATATGAGGCCTCATAAGTAAGGGTTATTCTATGTTTAGAACATGATGGAATTTCCATGATTTGTGTGACGAGCCGAATATTGATGTGTAAAATTCAAATTTTGGTGAGTGAGCGTAATAAAAAATAATGTTTAAGTAACTATGATTTTTGTACGGGAACTGCTCGCATGCCAGTAGTGAATTAATTTTGTACTTTATAAGTTGCCATCTGACCAACTAGCCAAATTGGTCAAAAGTTTAAACTTTAAACATCAAAGATGATTTACACAGGTCCTTATTGTGAAAATTTAAGCAATTATACATGCAAAACTCTGCCCTATGCAAAATATATAATTTTTCACTTAAAACTTTACTTTTCTAAATTTCTCCTATTCCACTACCCTCCTTCCATAACTTATATCATCATGCAATAAAATCTTCTAAATATATATCAACTTATCCAATGTCAAGACACAAATAAGCGCTTGCAAAAATGATTACTTACAACCTCTAAAACTGTATTGCCATGCAATAAATATAAACACTAGTACATAATCATACTCAATTTGTGTATAAGTTATGATTAAAAATTAGTCCATGTTTGGTAAGCATATTGTAATAAAAAAAAAAAAAACATTGAAGAAAAAAAAATTTGGGCAAACATAATACTTTTTGTAACAATATAATGCACTATTTCAAATTCAGTTTTTCAATAAAACAATAATCCTTTGTTAATGATTTCAGTTATAAAACTCAACTATTGCTGCAAATAATATAACTTATTAAAGCTTTATGTGAAAGCTGAATATTGAACCTACAGAAAATAGGAAACATTTCTGGTACAGAAACCCTACGATTGGTCCATTTCAAATCCATTCTGTAAATAAACCAATCAAACGCCCTTGTTTTAGACTGGTACCCTTATCATGCCTTTTTTATCTTTTTAAATCTAATTTCCAGGACTGTGCATGAAAATACTTGTAATTTTATCTCCTTGGACAGCCCTATTCACTAAACACATCATAAAAGTTTAAAATCACAATAAATAAGATTATCATTTTTTCTTTCTTTCCTCTGTACATCGTGGACAGTACCATTTTCCTTTAGGCTTTGCTGTTAATCCTACGCAACCAAAATGGAACCATTCAATTGGACACTGAAATAAACCAATATTATAGCATTATAAAGATTAAACAAATTTTCAACATGTGGCGAATGTGCTTCTTTTTTATATCATACAAGTATATGATTTTGATTGATAAAAACAAATCAGTTCATGTCAATTGGATGAAAATGATTGTGAAAAATTTTCTTTTGTCCTGAAGAGGAAAAGTGAGCAAAAGTCCAATTTTAACCAATTTCACCCAGAAAGCAAGTTCATTAATAATATTTCACAAAATCTTATAATTCTCACACTAGGATATCAAGTTCATGAGCATTTATTTATTTTTGGTTGGGTATTACGTTACACCAACACTGTAAAGGTTATATGGTGACGTTCAAGCTTTACTGGCGGAGGAAGATCTCAGGTATCCCTCCGTCCATTATTTCAGGCATGAACAGACACCTGAGTAGAACCACTAACATTACATAAGGTAGCTGGATAGCTTCCTCACATAACAGAATTCCAACTCCTGGTGAGATTCCAACCCAAAGTGGTGAGGGGCAAGTGATAATGCTTGAATGTTACAAAAAAATACACAGTAAATATGCATAAAATGAAACCATAATTTTGCATAATCATAATAAGGCTTTACACTCTCCATTAGTGTTTGTACAATAGGGTACCACCATGGCTGGTAGACACTTGAAATGCATACACCCTAACATTTACGCTAGTGTTTTATTTTTCATCCCTTAGTCCACTGAAAGGACTGATTCCTTATCACTGAATATTGCTAGCTTTCCCAAAGTATTGTTGGGTTTCATAATACAGTTGCTTTTGATTTCTTTATTTTCCAATTTACTAAACGTCAAGACAAAAACGTTACCAAATTTGCAGAGTAAGACACAAGCCGTTACTAAAACAGTGAAAAAAGAACGGCACCACTAATGTGAGTATATACTTACATCCAGATTATCACAGCCAATCATTTCACCATACGATACTTGATGACATAAACAGTATGTGGGTTCATTAGGATCTACGGGCATATCTAATACATCTGATGGATTGTTCATCGTCAATGACAACAACGGAGATATCATTGGTGGTGGCGCTGTGTCATTCGGTTGCCTGAAAAGATAACAAAATAATTAGTGTAAAAAATGTATAGTTTTGGACAAACTTGTTTGGTGAAAAGGAGGAAAAACTAAAACTCTTACAAAATAAAATGCAACTCTTGAGTTATCCAACTTGGTATGTGGTATTGCATTAAGATGCTACATACATGTTTTAAGATTAGTGGGGTATATCAGAAAAGTATAAAATATAGATTTTGGGACATTTCAGAATTACAAATCAAGAAATGGGCATACCTCTGTTAAAATACACTTAAGAGCAGACAAACTTGGTGATCTGCTTATGTGTTAATAACTTCATTACTTAAACATCATAATCCTAATTGAGACCAATTGCTTTCTATACAATACATTGTTAAGTTACAAGTAACATGTATTCATATACACTTTCTTCAATGATCAACTTTCAATACTAGTGACCTATTTTCTTATTAACTTCAACCAAAAATCATTTTAAGAGAAATGTCTTTTTTCAAATATAGTTTTTTAAAAGTAAGATTTGAATAAATTATGTCAGGTTATACATAATCAAATTTAGTTTGATTATGTAGGAAGCTATCTGCTTCTAGTCACACTTTCAAATCTGCGTCTGTGACCAACCAGTACTAAGCAAAGAGTGTGGGGTCTAAAAAACCCTAGCTCAAAGAATGCCTTGCCAACTTAAATAGTTTGCAAACCAAGTGGCCGAGAAACATTAGAACACTTGTCTGATTCTTTAAAATCTCCACCATTCTGCACCTTATAAATTATGTTAACATGATTACCTAAGACCAATCGTTTCCCTATTCTTTTAAATGTATTCTATACAGTCATCCATAGAAATGAGCAAAAGGTAATATGCATTTTTTACAGTCTTACTAGTAAAGTTGTCATTTTAGCACTACAATTAATATACATACAAAGCAAATTGTCTTTTATTATAATATCAGAAATACTATTATGTATTACAGACTTCATACATTATGTTCTTAGTGCAGTAACAGGTTTACTCCTATTAGATCATATAAGGAGTTAACCTGTTACTGCACTAAGGTGACAACACACAGCTGACAACAGACACGATATTTACCCTTGTCCTTTTTTCTTTTTCTTCTTTGGTATTTCATCCTCAAACTCATCTTTCATAGATTTTCTCTTCTTTTTGTCTTTGTCTTTAATATCTAAATATAGAAAAAAGGACAATTACTCTTCCATCTTCAAAAATTTGCTGCTTTAAACACTAGGACTGAACATACAGCCAAGTAAATTAATCTTTAAACAAAACACATGGTTCTGATCACATTTTTACAACTTATAATCTTAAAGGGAGACACAGGCAAAATTTTCATTTCTTCGTTTTGACTTTTTGTGAATTATTTTGTAAATGTCCTCTAAATGAATACAATAGGCAGTCACAGGAACAAAACTTTTCTTCTTAGTAAAGAATAAAATGGTAGTTTCCTAACTTGACCCACGTGGGTCAGGTTAGAGCATTAAGATTCCACTCCACAATAGTTGTCACAGTGAACTCTGGATACAATACAGAACATATCAAGTGAATGACTTAGACTTGTTTCAATTCATACCATATCCACAAGATCTGATATTGTTAATTCTAAGTCACATGACTTGTTTTGAAAAAACTTGTTGATTCTGTTGCTGTCTAAATTTTGTTCAACATATTTATGAATTAATTTACGCTTCAAATCTAAAATATATAAAATTCATACAGAAATCCATGCTAGGACTTTAAAGAAGAGGGCCATGATGGCCCTGAGGTCGCTCACCTGTATATAGGCCCCTCCCTTCCCCGGCAGGGCCAATTTTTGGACAAACTTGGTAGACACCCATAAGAAGATGTTTCATGCTAAACATCTAAGCTCTAGCTCATTGGGTTTTTTAAAAGAAGATCTTTTAAGTTTTACTATACACATATAGTTAAAAACAATGACAACCCTGGGGCGGGCCAGTTCTGATCCCAGGGCTTTTATTTGAACAAACTTGGTAGACACTTACTAGAAGATGTTTCATGCTTTATATCTAAACTCTAGCTATTTGGGTTTTTTCAAAGAAGATTTTTAAGTTTTTGCAATACACATATAAGGAAAATCAATGACCCCCGGGGCGGGGCCAATTTTGACCCCAGGGCTTTTATTTGAACAAATTTGGTAGAAACCCATTTGAAGATGTTTCATGCTAAATATCTTAGCTCTAGCTCTTTGAGTTCTTTAAAGGAAGATTTTTTAAGATTTTACTATATGCATAAAGGGAAAATCAATGACCCCCTGGGGCGGGGCAATTTTGACCCAGGGGCTTTTATTTGAACAAACTTGGTAAACACTCACTAGAAGATGTTTCATGCCAAATATTTATGCTCTAGCTCTTAGGGTTTTTTTAAAGAGGATATTTAAAGTTTTTTCTTTCGGTTGCCATGGCAACCAGTGTTCTGCGTGGAATTAAATTCTTTGAACAATTTTTAAAGGTGACCACGAAAGGAACATTCCTGTGAAGTTTGGATGAAATTGGCTTAGTGGTTTATGAGGAGATGTCATTTAAAGTAAAAGTTTACGGACGGACGACGGACGAAAAGCGATCACAAAAGCTCACCCTGTCGAGCTAAAAATGTCATACTAGTCAGTAGTGTGATTTGAATACATAAGATCATTTTAGTATTTTTGTCATTAATTTGCCTGAGTATCTCTTTAGCTGTACAATGTATATCCAGATATTTCTTTAAATCAATTAATGAATCACCTTTCAGTTATCTGCATTTCAATTATTTGGTTTTTCACTTAACTAAATAAGTTTTTTAGACCTCCTTTTTAAAGTGTTTTTTAAAGGTATATGTTAAAAGCTGTAACTAAATAATTGTGTTCATAAAACTCATGTAAAAAATATTAAACATAAAACTTCTGTTCATAAGACTCATCTTATTGTCAATTCCCAAAAGAGCAGTAACATAAAACTGTAGACTTTGTTATTTTATACACATGAATATGGAATGTACATGTACTTAAACAGATTTAAATGATCCACAACAAAATACATGTATAATGCTGTGATTTTAAATCACGATTTTACCATTTAGCAATGACTATATGCACATGCCATTTAGTTTTATGGAAATATACAAATGTTTTCTTTCATACAAGTATTTTGAAATAATTCTTTCTCAAAATTCAAACAATCTGGATAGAACCATTTTTAATGGGTTTTACGTTGCACCAACACAGTATAATAATAATAAATCATATGGCCACTTTTTCCAGCTTAACTGGTGAAGGAAGACATCAGGTGCCCTTTCATGCATTATTTCAGACACAAATGTGTACCAGAGTAGAAACACTGAATTTTCATAAGCTAGCTGGATAGCTTCCTCACATGAAGGAATCCAAAGTCCCTGTCTGGATACAAACCCAGGGCCGTCAGGGGCAATTGATATGAAGTCAAAGACCATAATCACACTGCCATGTAGCTCCTTAGAAAAAAGCTTTGATTTAAACTCTGTGCATATAAAAGTGATCAGACTAAAAACAAAATAGATGGTGCAATGAGTGAAGTAAAAAATTAGCGCAAAAAATTACAACTAGATCATGCAGAATTCATTTCAAACACTTTAACACAAGTATCAAAATGAGGCATATATACATGTAAATATACATTATATTTAAACAAGAAAATTCCACAAACAGCCGGTAACTTTCCAGGTTTGGTAAATAGTATGTAATTTAATACATTCTTTTGACTGAAAATATTTATACATATTCCAAGTGACTTGATTTTTGCACTGACACCAACAGATGAACACAATGTGTTGTAACATTTGCTATAATTTTGATTGCGTTTAGTCAAATCAATATTTTTTTGTGACTACTCCAATTAAAAACAAGCAGTCGATGTTGGTGTCTGATGTAATTCTTCATTTTCTTCTTTGGTGTTAGAGCTGCATGCTTAAGATGAGCAAATGTTTTAGAAAAAGTCGAGACTCTTAAAGACTCTTTAACAGTACTGTATGTTTTACCAATGCTTGTTTGTTAAGGGAGCAACTTATACAATATAAGGTTACAGATGACTGGTGCATAATGGACTGTTCCGTAATCCAAATCAAGGGCAAGTCCATTCATACAAATTCAACAGCGTTATGGTTAAGCAATATATTTGCTACTCCCTTTTAGTTTAAAACAAAACCCCAAAGCTACATCATACATGTATATTCAACAACAAAAATACAACAAAACCAAACTTTACAAAGCAAGCAATTTTGACATAACACAAAAGACACGCACACACAAAAATAATGATAAAATGCGTAAATGATATGAAAGACGCCAGATGGCACTGTATGATATTTATACGACATGATCGGTATACACACTTGATTTTTTTCCGGTTTCTGCTTTCTCCTCCACACCGGGTTTGTTCAACGTTTTGTCCCGTAAATCTGCCTCAAATCTTGCCAGGTCGGCATCGAGCTTTCGTATATGCTTATCCACCTTGAGAAATTAATATCGGTTAATAGTGAATCAAACAACTGTTTTTTTATCAAGTGACTTAACAAAATGTTTTAGGTCAATCAAAAGTGTATCTTGACTTTAGAGCCTGCAAAAACTGCAAACAACAAAGGAACAAATATCCAGTACGGAATTTTAATACATTTTTGGTAAATTCAAAAGTTCTTCTAACTAACTGACTCGATATAAGTCTTCCATCAAACATATTCAAGACCCAATTTCGAATCTTGTTTTAAGAATAATATCTTTTTATAACCGGAAAAGTCTTTATAAATATTCCTTCTCTTTAAATCAAGATACATTTTGATAACCTAAAATAAATATTAGTTGCAATAAACGAAGATGTGAGTCTGTTTAGTTGAATTGTCCAGTGGGTTATTATAATGTATATTAAATCTATTGTTTTGTAAAATGACATCTGACAATTTCAAACAAAACTCTTTACACATGTACTTATCTCAAACCAAATTATTACACATGTATTTATTTCAATCGAAAATGTATCAAAAATCACATTAACATTATTGTTTTCAACAAAAAGTACTTCATATAGGTCACAAATCAAATTAAATTAAAAAATTTTAACCTTAAATTCAAGTTTTTCAATTTTTTTAAGCAGGATATTCAACTAAACTGACCCACATATTCTCCTTGCAAACCCCAATATTATTGCATTATTAACAAGTCATTAAAATACAAACTTTTCCCACTATTTTCTTTATCATCATCAGAACAGCTGGATGTATAGTCCTTTAAATCCGCCTCCATCCTGGCGATATCTCGATCATATTTCTGTATATATCTGTCCACCTATTTTTTAAAAAATTCTCCCAATTCAATTTGCAAACTAATTTTAGTGATAAAAGTTGGGAAGTCCACATCATACCAATCAACTTAAAGCCTTAACAACAAGAGCTGTCCGTAAGACAGCGCGCTCGACTTTTTTATTGCTTGCCAATAAAAAAAGTTTTTGCAGTAAAAGGCAATACAAGAATCTCTGTATTTTTAAAGTGAACAATGGCCATGAGCAAATCCTTGACAGAGTTACCTTCTCTTGCGTACAGATGGGGGTAATCATGTGAAATAGCATTAAAAGTTTCAAAGCAATATCTCAAAGGGTTAAGGCAATAAGTGGATTTTACCCATATTCAATGTATTTTCTAAGTCAAAAAGGGGCATAATTCTGTCAAAAACCTTGACAGAGTTATGTCCTCTTGTCTGTTGATGAAGGTCGTGATGGTAAACAAGTATGGTCAGTTTCAAAGCAATACCTCCAATGGTTTTGAAATAAAGTGAGGTGGTACAAAAAACTTAACCAAGCTCAATACACTTTCTAAGTCAAACAAGAGCTGTCAGAAGGACAGCGCGCTCGACTTTTTTAGTGCTTGCCTATAAAACAAAACTTTGACAGTTAAGGGCACACAAGACTTTAACTAGGAATTTCTAAGTACAAATCAAGAAACATTTTCACAGAGTTATCTTCTCTTGCTTACAGATAGGTCTCATGATGGCACATAAGAACTCCAACTTCCAAAGTAATATCTCAAATGGTTAAGTCAACAAGTGGACAAGAATGAAAATCTTAACTGAGTTTCTAAGTCAAAAAGGGCCATAATTCAAATAAAATCCTTAACAGAATTACCTTCTCCTGCCCATGTTTTGGGACCATGATGGTAAACAAGTATTCCAACTTTCAAATTAATATCTCAAACAGTTCAGTCAAAAAGTGGACTGGTACTAAAAACTTAACCAAGATTCTAAGTCGATAAAAGGCCTTAATTTTTAAAACAAATCCTTGACAGAGTTACCTTCTCTTGCGTACAGATGGGGGTAATGATGTGAAATAGCATTAAAAGTTTCAAAGCAATATCTCAAAGGGTTAAGGCAATAAGTGGATTTTACCCATATTCAATGTATTTTCTAAGTCAAAAAGGGGCATAATTCTGTCAAAAACCTTGACAGAGTTATGTCCTCTTGTCTGTTGATGAAGGTCGTGATGGTAAACAAGTATGGTCAGTTTCAAAGCAATACCTCCAATGGTTTTGAAATAAAGTGAGGTGGTACAAAAAACTTAACCAAGCTCAATACACTTTCTAAGTCAAAAAAAGGGCCATAATTCTGTCAAAAAACCTTGACAGAGTTATGTACTCTTGTCTGTAGATGGAGGTTATGATGGTGAACAAGTATGGTAAGTTTCAAAGCCATACTTGTAATACTTCTGAAATAAAGTGGGGTGGTACGAAAAAACTTAACCAAGGTGTGACGCCAACGCTAACGCTAACGCCGACGCCGGGGCGAGTAGGATAGCTCCCCTTTTCATAGAAAAGTCGAGCTAAAAAGGGCCATAATTCTGTCAAAAACCTTGACAGAGTTATGTACTCTTGTCTGTAGATGGAGGTTTATGATGGTGAACAAGTATGGTAAGTTTCAAAGCCATACTTGTAATACTTCTGAAATAAAGTGGGGTGGTAACGAAAAACTTAACCAAGGTGTGATGCCAACGCCGACGCCGACGCCGGGGCGAGTAGGATAGCTCCCCTTTTCATAGAAAAGTCGAGCTAAAAAGCAAACCCAAGTATTTGTTTCAGGAAATTTTTCATATGAAGTACCATAATGCAATTTTTTTTTTTTTACTTTTTTTCTTTATAAAAACAAATGTAAATTCATAAATAGTATCGTGAAAATATAAATTACAGGCTTCATAATTATAAAACTAATGCTCCAATTCTTCAGGACTGAAATCTTAATGATTCTGTCTTTATACATAGTTGTAACCAGTGGGTACTGATTTCGCTGGACTAAATTCATCACATGTGAATCAAGTGGTTACGTAACGAGTACGCAAAGGTTACCGAGACTGGTCTTTATAATGTGTGTAAGCATTTACCATTTCGTATGTCTGCATAGCTAACTGAACTTTATCATCGCCAAACTCCCGGCTTTTGCTAAAAAGTTTCTGTATTGCACTGAGAAAGTCCGACCTTTTATCTGGAGACATATTTCTTACTGTTGACAAATAACCTTCAGCTTTATCGTCTATTTCTTTCATTAAATCTGTAAAATAAGATAAACCCATTAAACTTTGAAAATCCCAAAGAATTTGATTATTATAATTTAACAGATATTGAAAATTTGTAAATTTTAATATACATTTGTGCTGGAGGAAAATCTGCATGATATTGCTACTGTTTGTATTTTCTATCAAACTGTAAAAGTTGTTCTGCAATCTTTAACTAACTGGATCCCGACCTCAGACTTGAGTATTTGGTTGTAGCAGGGTTCTCAATAACAGCAGGCCACAGGCCAAAATGACTGACTGAAATCATGATTTGGCCTGTTGAAATTCTATTAGATACACAGTTCTTATAATTTCTATGTTGAATTACACAAAAGGCCTGCTGGAATTGCTTTCTAGCTGCTGCTGCTGCTGATGAATAATTTATTGAAAACTTTGTGTAGCATGCATTATGTCAGAACACCCCCAAAAACACTGGACAGAGTGCTAAAGGGCATAAATTAAAGATATAGCTACAAGTTTTAGAAAGAATAAGATATTATTATAATTTATATATTGTATTAAATTAATTAAATACAACTGTTATTCCATTGCATTTATTCTACATTCTACAACATATTTGCAGTCTTAAACAAATTTAAGAAAAGTTTGATTTTGACGATTTTTCTTGTGAAAATCATGTTATCCTATAAAATAATTATGACTGCATCATCATGAGCACACAAAATAACACACTTGATGCACCTACCTTGTGCCTTTTGATCTAAATCTCTCATTAGACTAAAGTTTCTTTGGAGTTCACCTGGCAAAGATTCCAGGCCTGAAAATAGAAATATGTTGACAAACTCTCAAATTGAATATTGGCATTGCCCATAGTGTAGTACTTCCATAGTGGCATGTTGTGCATTGCACTGAGTCTGTATCAGCATTCACAAAAATCCTGATCATGTTTCTGAGAGGCCAGAAATTAACTATTAATTAACCAGTGTTTATATTCATAATGCTATATTCAATTTTTTCACACTTCTAATTATTCTTATCTGTTATATAAAAACATATTTCAATTAATCAATGTCTTTTTATAGTATTTAATATTTTGATAACAAAGAATAAATATCACAGGAACTTGAAATTCTATCAATATTAATGATAATATCCAAAATATACCCCCTACTCATACTGTATATTTTGGATATTATCATTAATATTGATAGAATTTCAAGTTCCTGTGATAAATATATACATGTAGACTTACAGCTGATAATTCTTTCAGAACTCATATAAAATATCATATTAACGATCAATTTACCAGGGAAATTCCACTATATTTATGACCAAAAAATCTTCTTAATATCATGAATGTAATTATTTGCAAGTATGTGTTATATTATATATAATAGTGAGCTCGACGAGCTGGCCCGAAGGGCCTGCTCGCAAAACGAGCTTTACAGTAACGCGAGTACCTGCTAAGTGATGGTTTTGAAAACTTTCGTCCGAAGTACCGAATTGGACACATCGCAACTTTTTGAATTTAAAGATAACGATAAAAACTGAGGAATTCTGACTGGAAACGGATGTGTAGACTGGTCACCCGCGCACGTCTATGGGAACCATAATTGGACAGGGAACCAGAATAACGGAAGCTGTGTATAAAATATCGAATGACAGTTTTAAAACGGAAAATGAAAATTGAAGACGCCATTTTGTTTGAAAAATCTGATAAATAAAAACAATTTTTTGTCGAATTTTGTTGTGAAAACTATCTATAATGAAAGAAAATGGTCTAACTAAGAATATGAATCCGAACACCAATATCTTTTATTCAGTCGTTCACGCTGTACAGGCGTTTAAAGTATTGTTTACGTGACGTCACAATGTAGCGCCAAACAGCACATACAAAACAATCAAATCAAGCGCTATCTTAATGTCGCAAACCTTTTAAGTTTTAAATTTATTTCACTTTTAATAATCTTTATTTCGCTTGCAAACATATAGAGTGAAATAAAATAAACAAACAAAGTTTTATCAATGTTTTCAAAACTCGTTATTCATTTAACGACAGGGGCGGAGCCATATTTAACACAGTACGTGTGACGTCACACGCACTCGTCACGGCATTTGAAATAGAAATGAGCGATTATTTCATACTATTACACGTTAAATTTTAAAGTACATCGAGCTCGCTTTGAGGCTTTGCCTACTTCATACTTTTATAACCTTTTATCAGTTAATCATGTTAATTATGGTATATATATATCCGATATATTTATCAAATTTAAAAAGGGTGCCAAAAAGACCAGGGTTGTGAGGCCGAAACGTCCAGGAGGTGTAAAGTTCGAACACCTGATTGATTCCAGGTAAGGTGTGAGGAATAATATGATAGACCTGATACGGTCAAGTACGAAACACACAGAGTACGAATAATTTGTCGAAAGAAGGGCCATTAAATTTTCAAGCATTCGGGCGATTTCTAAACATATTCGAATCATTTTATTTATTGTTTTACTTTCTGCTTCATAGATGTAAAAGAAGATTTTTATCACAGAAGAATATTATCTTTTTTAATGAAAATATTTATTTTGTTGTTGTTGTTTGCGTAGGCAGTTTGCGCCAAAACAGATTAGAGAAAGTTATACTGAATTTGTTAATGCACTAATACCATCAAATCAATGATAAGGTCAAAAATGACTTTTCACACTTAAAAGTGTAGATAATTTGTGGCGATTTAAAAAGAAAGAAGCAAATATAATACTTACTGTCCAAGTAATGTTCCAAATACATTGCAGTCGCCATCTTGTTGACCTAATTATATCACGTGATAAAATGTACAAATGACGTCAAAAGAGTACATATGCCTATAAAGTGTTACTTTTTCAGAAACTTGTATATGTGGCTCGTTGGTCTAGGGGTATGATTCTCGCTTTGGGTGCGAGAGGTCCCGGGTTCAAATCCCGGACGAGCCCATCATTTTTTTTGTTGTCGCGCGTTGGAGAACGAAAACTCGTCGAATATAACGTTAATATAAAGCATACATTTATCGCCTTATTTTTTACGAGCTGCAAGGGTATATATATGCTAAGTGCGCGTAATTACGGATCCATAGCGGTGAAAGAAATACATTATGTGTAGATACAAACCAACTACAAAATTATGTGCAAACATAGTTGTCAGTTAAGAAAGCAAAAAATAAACATTTATGGAACTTTTAAAACATGAATCAACATTGTTAAAAAAAGAGGAAGTGAATATATAATATCTAAAATGATTTGGAAATTAACTCATATTGATAATATACTCAAAAGCAGGCTCGAAATTGAAATACTGCTATAACCACTGCACTTACATCCATTTTAGTTTACATTTATTCTGTTTTATATGAATAAAAAACAGCTCGAATGACGTATTTTGTTGGAACAGATCATGGCTATTTTTTAAGAACTTTTTTCATATATGTGCAATATATTTTCTCAATTTTTTGATTATTTTAACGTCGGTCATGTCATTATGACGGACGTAAAATGGTATAGTAAGTATTCATAAACAGGGACAATTTTCATTCGGTCTGACATTTAATACCTTAATACACTTTTCTTCGAATTGCGGTAACATAACGCATCTTTTAAATATGCAGCTAAACCGACTTCGGTTGATGTTGTTGTTGATATTTCGAAGTCTCCTCATTAATAAGATAGCATATTAGCTTCATATGTATACCATGTGTGCAGTGTAATGTAAGCATTCTGAAACTGGAAAAGTTGATCTAGTCCGAAATTTAAACGGCTCATGGTCTCATTTAAAAAAATGCAACGGTCCAATATTTCATTTTCTGGCGATTGAGGCATTGAAAAGCACTATGTTTAATGTCAGCTAAGGAAGTGATGTCAAAATCCTTTATATTTTTTGACCAATATGATACTCGTATGTTATGTATATACTCCAAAAATTAGGCGAAGTGATGAATTTGACAGCTTGATAGTTTTATTACCTTTTGATCATAAAATCGTAAGTTAAAATTAAGAACAAACAAGGGTTGCAGTTGAATGACATATCCCTAGCCGTTGTCATTTGTAGAAAATGCTATTTCTTTTTATGTATAGATCACATCCATTTATATTCTCCTTCAGACTGAGGCAAGGCTTCGATTATAATAACTATCCCGAGAGTTCCAATAGTAGTGAAAAGATTTGGTCAAATTGTTGCACGGACACACGGACACACACACGGACAAGTGACATTACCATATTTCTCATCATAGGCTTATTATATTGACAGTATATTTTTGAAAGAGACCAGTAAGGGCTTTTATAATTTATATTGGGGGTCTTTATTCTACAGCTAGGGAGTCACTGTTCTATATGAGGGTCATTTTTCTTTGTGTAGGGGAATCATAATATTATACTCCACGGTCATAATATTATGACCGGGGGTAATTACTTTATATAAAATATTGACCGGGGGGGATCACTATTTTATTGGGGTCAGTTTACAACGTAACACCGGCTAACACATTTATGCCCGATTTTTCAGATGTCCTTGAGTTCTTCAGATACCAAAAGTTCTTCTGAAAACTTTTGTTACTGCCAGTGTGTTTCCTGTCCTAAGCTACGCGTTTTTTAATATTCAATTAGGGTGTAAATCCCCCGTAAAAGTGTCATTAAAGCAGAAAAGGCTGGTAAGATGAGTGTAAATTATAACTAACGGGGACTTACTTTGTAGAATATAAATCTTACTCAAAAGAAATTTGCTCCCCTTTATGTATTGTATGATGAACGGGCCAATCGGATCTTCCCGGTCTTTTCCGTCAACATTCGGTTAAGAGCCCCGAACACAAACACAATCGCTAAGAAACTAAACGTGTAAACAAATAGATGTAAACAAATAGTAATTTAATGCTAGGAAGTTAAGAGTTGAAGAATAAATTTACACCAATATATCGACTGAACGACGACCTAAAATAATTATATTACAGAATACTATTGATATTGCCCCATTGGAAATGAATGGACTATCCTTGTTACTATAGAGCATTTGTATTGAATGTATGCTTAACCGGTATAAACGCTGGCCAGTGCGTTTTATCCCCTCATAAAATATCTTCACATCTTTTTTGTATATGTTAACAAGATAGCCTTTGTTTTAAAATGTTATTAATTATAATCATGTTTTTGTGCTCCTAGTTTTTAAGTCTCTGTTGTCATATTATAAACTGTGAATTTTATTCTATGTCTTAACGGATTTTAGTTTCATTTATTTAATTCATTGCTTGTAATGAAATGATATTTTGATTTATTGAACCGTTATTTCTATAGATGCATATCTTTTATGTAACTGTGATCTAAGATGTTGCCAAAATAAAATAGAAAAAAAAATTAAATACCAGTAAACAGTACATTATTTATATGCCAATTATTATGGTTGTAGAAAACGAAACTATAAAATGTCTACCTGTTCACGTTTCTTTGGATTTGGTTATAATTGTACATCAGTGAGCTTTTTAAATTGATTATGATTGTCAGACATATGTTCAGTCATAATTAATATTACTGAAATAGACATTATTTTCATTTGAATGTTAAGTTTATACATTCATTATACATTATCAAAGATTGCACCCTATGTTTTTGTTTACATCTTAAACCACGTGGTAGAACTACTTTCAATCCGTATTAAGTCCGAGGTTATTAATGATAATAGCCGAGATGTTCCGATTGACGAACGGGAACCTACTTTTTGTGATAGTTATCACCAATTAAAAGACATTCACGTCATGTCAAATTATTATTTTTATTTATCTGATCCAGTCCACTCCAAACATTAAAAAAATATGCACACATCAAATGTAACAAGGACTGTAACTCTGACACTTGCTAGTCTAGAATTATTGCCCTTGAACAAAAAAATCTTTCTTAATCTAGAAATGAGGGCTGGAACTCTGTTTTAGATATTAGCCAGTTTGAGGGAGCTATTCGAGAAATCAAATTCTGGAAAAAGAAAATAATTAGTAAACCAACCAGACGTTTGTTTAGTACTGGTATTGAATCATTAACTGTCTATTCTGATGCAAGCCAAATTGCCTGTGCTGCTTATATTGAAGGTAATAGCGATAAAATTTCATAGGAATTGGCCTCAGTCCGAGAGGGACACCAGTTCTACATGGCGCGAGTTAACTGCTATTTTATTTGCCTTAAAAAGTTTCTTTTACCTTTTATAGCACCTTATTGGCCTTCAGCAACCTTTTGGCCCATGTTAACGGGAGATAACAGTCAAAACCGTATATCGCGGACATGCTTCTTTTTTTCGAAAGATCAGAACATATTTATACAATATCTTAATAAGAATATTATTTTCGGTTCAGACAAATTTAACAGTAAGAATTTAGCTGTCATATTTGAGACTTCGGAATTCCGGACCGTTTGTTTAAGAGACATGGCCGTTGGCGGTCCGAAAATGCTAAAGATGGTTACATTAAAGATGAATTTAGTAAACTTCTTTCAGTGTCAAAAAATTTAGGTATATAAATGATTATTTGATTTGCAATGAGTTGATTTGTAAATTATTTCAGTGACATTGTTAAAAGCATTCATAGAACAATTTATAGATAATTTTTTTCAATATTAAAGTTAATTAACTATGTTACCGTTCTTTGTTTTTGCTCGATATAATAAAAGCAATGCAATTGGCCAATCCTAATTATGTCTCGTTGTTTATTATACTTAATAGCTTCTAAAGAGAATAAATAATTTAGTTTCGTTTGAGCAAGCGAATTAGAAAATAAGTTTAAGAACATTCGACTATAGACTGGTCTTATTGGCACGTTATTTATCCATTTAAAGGCCTCAACAGACGGTAGGATTTAGTTGTACAGCACTAATTAGAGATAATATGTACAATTTTCAAAGCAATACAACACTTGCATTCAGACGGTAATTCTACACTGTAGGAATCATCTGAGCTTTCCCTAAAAATTTGGATCCCTTTACATTGATCCTTTACATACTTTACTCACTAAATACTTTTTTCGCCATGAGTAATTATTGAAACACCTCAATAATAAAAAAAAAAATAATAAAAATATTTTTTTTTAATGTTAAGCCTGACCAAGATTCAAACCTGGGACCCCCGGAATACCGTACTGCGGCTCTACTGACTAAGCTATCCGGCCTCCTACAAACTACCTCCCCTCCCCTAATTAGAGAACAGTTCAATACCGTGACATAATCATTTTCGGAACAATTTGGGATTCGAACATACCACAACTTTGGGTCTCCTGAAGTGTTTTTCAACATCATTTTTACCCCATCTTACTACTATGTTTACCTTTTAGCCCTAATTGTTCTGGAATTTCATTTAGTACATCCATTATCAGGAGATAATTTGGTTATCTGTTACTTGTCATTGTGGGAGGTCTGTAGAAATCTGTACGACAAGATTTTCAAAATAGAACATGTCCAGCCCTTACATCTAGACTTGAGGTTTCCGAAATCTTCACACATTAAGACTTGTCTGTACATCTTAGTTTTAATTGGTGTTGTACTTCAAAATCCTACCGTCTGTTGAGGCCTTAAGACATATTTACGCGAAACAACGCACTTTCGACGCCCCCCTCTTTTAGGCCTCAAATAGTAAAAAAAATGTCCTGTTTGGGTCCAAAACACATGTTTTCGTTTGAGAAATATTGATTAGAAAAAGGCACAACCCCAACCAAAAGATACATCAGGGGGTTGCCATAAGGGAATGTGCCACCTTCTGTTTTGGGTATTTGAAGGGGGGGGGGGGGTAGTCCCCCTCATCGCCAAGAAAATTTTGGACTTG